AGGTGGTGTGGTACATCCGGTAGGTCGAATAGACCTACCCATTCTTCTGGATGAAAAAGGGGAGGTACGCCACATGGTGGTCCGGTTCTTAGTTGTTGAAGAACTGACGGCCTATAACGTGATTTTGGGGCGTCCCACCTTGAATGAATCCAAAACTATTATCATTCCTTCTCTTATGCTTCTCAAGTTTAAGAAGGATGATGGAACAGTCGGCTCCCTTAGGGGAGACCAAAAGATGGTCAGGGAGTGTTATCTCTCTGATGTCAAACCCACTGTGGTCGTATTCGGCGCTAGTGGAGAAACTTCTGACCTTGACCAAGTCAAGGAAGTCGCGCCTGCTTCCACAACAGCTAGCAAAAAGAGAAAGGCCAACCAGATGGTGGCTGAGAGAAAAGATAAGCAATAGCAATCATTGACCGCTGAAAGGCCGGATGAACTCTGTCCCTAGTCGGCTGGTGAGCACATTAACATCGTTTTGGATGACTCTCATCCTAACAAACTGTCACGGTGGGGACGACTACTTTTGCTAAACTTGGTGCCGATTACATAACTTGTTACAAGAATTCAAAGACATATTTGCCTTTGAGGTGGACGAGATGCAAGGCATCAGCCCGGATCTAGCTGTCCACAAGCTTGCTGTGGATCCTAAAAAGAAGCCGATAAGGCAAAAGAAAAGGAACCATGGAGAAGAACGAAGCCAGGCTGCAGCCGCCGAGGTGAAAAAATTGTTAGATGCTGGGTTCATTCGGCAATGTTATTTCCCTGATTAGGTTGCCAATGTGGTGCTTGTAAAGAAGCCGAATGGAACCTAGCGCATGTGTGTTGACTACACAAACTTCAACATGGCATGTCCGAAGGATAGCTATCCTCTCCCAAAGATCGACAGTCTGGCCGGCCATGCCTTGATGAGCTTTATGGACGCCTATTCAGGCTTTCACCAGATACCTCTCCGGAGGAAAGATCAAGAGAAGACGGCATTCGTCATTGATCAAGGGTTATTCTGCTATACTGTGATGCCGTTTGGTTTGAAGAATGCGCCTGCTACCTTCCAAAGAATGATTAATATAGTCTTTGTTAATCAAGTTGGAAGGAATGTGGAGGCGTACATTGATGTTATGATAGCCAAATCCAAACTTCAAGCGGACCATCTTACAGACCTCCGAGAAACATTCGCCACACTCAGGCGGCACCACGTCATGCTCAATCCCAAGAAATGTGTTTTTGGTGTTGAGTTTGGGAAGTTCCTCAGATTTCTGATTGATCAAAAGGGGATAGAGGCCAACCCGGAAAAAATACAGGCGGTCATAGACATGCAGTCGCCCCGTACTGTAAAAGAATTTCAAAAATTAACAGGCTGTCTGGCGGCATTGGGGAGATTCCTCAGCCGGTCAGGCGACAAGTACCTCTATTTCTTCCAAGCAATTAAGAAGAAGACTATGTTTGAATGGGGGGTGGATGTAGAGGCAGCCTTTCAAAAGTTGAAGGAACACTTGCACTCTCTACCAAGGCTGGTCAGTCCTTTGCCAAAATAAGTATTGTACATGTACCCAGCCGTCTCTGACCATGCGCTTAGTGTTGTTCTCCTTGCTGAAAGAGGCGGCACCCAGTTCCCGGTCTACTTCATCAGTCATGTTCTACGGAATGTAGAGCTGAGGTACCCCATGGTTGAAAATTTTGGACTTGCCCTCTTCATGGAAGTCAAAAAGTTAAAGCCTTACTTCTTGGCACCCCCGGTCATGGTCTACACTGACCAGCTAATCAAGCGGCCAATGACAACCATGGAATCATCTGAACGAATGATCAAATGAGCAATTGAAATTCAAAGCCTTGAAATTACTTTTGAGCCAAGGAAAGGCAGTAAAGGGACAAGCGTTGCTTACTTCATTGTTGAAATGACCAGGTTGGCTGATCCTGAAAACCTTGAACAGGTTTGGAAGGTATATGTGGATGTGAGCTCCACCCTGAACGGTTGTGGTGCAGGCGTCATATGTCAGTCTCCTGAAGGAGACAAGTATGAGTATGCATTACGTTTCAAGTTCCAAGCCTCAAATAATGAGGCAGAATATGAAGCCCTATTAGCCGGCATCCGCATGTGTAAGGCGGGTGGGGCAAGAAAAGTGGATGCCTGTTCTAATTCACAATTGATTGTTGGCCAATACCATGGTGACTATGAAGCCACACATCCGGCTATGATCAAGTATTTACAGGCGGTCAGAGAAGAGGTTGGGACACTTGAAGAATTCCACCTAAGTCAAGTGCCCAGGTTTGAGAATAACCAGGCGGATGCTTTCTCCAAACTGGCGTCATCTGCCTCCTGTGACACACCAAGGTTTGTCTTTTGGGAAGTTATGGAAAATAGAAGCATCGAGGAGGAACCTATTGGAGTCCTAGATCGAAGCTCAACCTGGATGGATGGCATCCGGGCATACTTAACAGACGACACCTTGCCGGATACTTACCCTGAGATGATTGTAATGAAAAAACGTGCGTCCAACTTTGAAATTCACAAAGGGGAACTCTTCAAGAAAGGCTATCTTCAACCTCTTTTGAAGTGTGTCACCCTAGAAAAGGGCGGAGAGGTCCTCGAAGACTTGCATTCAGGGTTCTGTGCCTCCCATATAGGCGGCAGGTCCCTTGCAAAGAGAGTTAGGCGGCAAGGTTATTTCTGGCCTACCCTAGAAGCAGACGCCATGGAGATGCTGAAAAAATGTGACAAGTGCCAAAGGTTTGGCAAGCTCATTCATCGTCCGGCCACTGACTTGACAGCTATCCATAGCCCAGTACCATTCGCCAAATGGGGCATGGACATTCTGGGTCCCTATACGCTTGCTACAGGCGGACGGAGATATATTTTGGTAGTAGTCAACTATTTCACCAAGTGGGTAGAGGCGGGGGCGGTCAAAGGCATTAAGACAAAGGATGTTATCTCCTTCATTTGGAGAAATTTCATCACCCGGTATGGGGTACCCATGTCTATGGTCTTTGACAATGGTCCTCAATTTGAGACGTCTGCTCTCAAGAACTGGTTGGGAGACCAAGGGATCTCTCACTGTTTTGCATCAGTCGCCCGCCCCTAAGCAAACGGCCAGGTTGAAGCCTTTCAATAAGTTAATCTCTGATGGCATCAAAAAGAAAATTGAAAGAGCTGGTGACATATGGGCTAACGAGCTATCGCATGTTCTGTGGGCCATCAGGACGACTGAAAAAGGGGCGACTGGTGAAACTCTATTTCTCATGGTTTATGGGGCAGAGGTTGTTCTACCTATTGAGCACTATGAGCCGACTCTTCGAGTTATGCTTTATGACGAAGAGGCTAACTGGGAGGCCATTCGGCTAGCATTGGACTCACTTCCAGAACGCAGGGGCAATGCGGCCTTGCGTCATGAGATTAACCGTCTGAGAATGACGAGAGCTTACAATAAAAGAGTGCACAAGCGCGCCCTAAAAGTAGGGGACTTTGTGTTACGAAAAATGGAAGCAGTCGGTAGGGCCAACGAACAGGGAAAGCTGATCCCTAATTGGGATGGCCCCTACCGAATCTATGAAGAAGTTAGAGGTGGCACCTACCGATTGGAAACACTAGACGACAGACAGCTAGCCAAAATTTGGAACGTAGACAACTTGAAAAAGTACTACTTCAGAGATTCGTAAATTATTTGTACATGAAAACATATTAATAAAATTTGCAATTTATTTTTCAGTTTTTGTGCAAGTCTCCTCAGTGGGGCAAGCCGCCTATACAATGTACAGTCGGTCTTATTTCTTTTAATCACCTACTCTCACATGAGTATATATGCAAAGTCTAGACAACTTAGCAACTATGTTCTTTTCTGAACAACCTTATGAGGCCACAGGCCGGATGATCACCTTAAGGCCAAAGGCCGGATGATCCTTATAAGATTAAACTAATACGTCTGTCCCAAATATGAGCAGGCGTCCGGCGACATCCATCCGGGTGAATTCGTCGCAGAGAGCATATCCCATTTGGGTGGCACATTGCTCTATAAATCTCAAACAAACGGCCCTACCGAATGTCTCCAAGACAGCCTCGCAGTCGTTTAACACGAGACGAAGATAAACGTACCGCTTACACAAACACGCGGTAGACAGTTAAAATCTAAGTCAGAAACCGCCTGTTATTGCTTGGGACAATACAATCGGCATAAATTGAGTAAATAGCTAAGCTTCACTTGGCAAATAAAGAGTTATCATGCGGCCAAAGTCGCATGTTTCTTCTATTCACTCAAATCAAAGTGACAGAGATTGATTAACCCCAAGGGTTAACTCATAGTCACTCCAGCAAACTTGGGATGGAACCTAAAAGGTACGAATGAAGCCGCCTGACCTTTTAATAAACAGACGACATTCGGCCACTATTCCTATTTAGGTAGCAAAAACAAAGCTACCGCCTGAAAACGAACAGGCGGTTGCTACTTTGATTAAAAACATCCAGTTTGGCGCCTGTTCTGTACAAGTACCAAACAGACGGACTATTTACAATCAATAATATAAACTAAGTACAAAACATAGTGTCAAAGCGTGGTTCGTATAAAGAACTATATTGAGGCCGAGAGCCGGATAATGCTGAGTGTATAGCCGTTTGTCCAATGGTCGTCTGTCCGCCTGGTTTGGGGCAATCACCATTGTGATTGATGACCTAGAAATCAGTCATACTCTTTAAAGTATCAAAGATTTCCAAGTCAATCCATCAACCTTAGAAAACCAAGTGCACAGCCGGCCAGGGGCAAGAACAGTCGGTATATAAAGAATTTATGAAAACTAGAAGCAAGCTACATACACTTAGCAAAATTCATGAAAAGAAAAAAAATTTGGAGAAACCGGCAAAAACGGCCAGATGTTTAAAATAAACAGTCGGCCAGGAGACTGACAGAAATGTTAAAAATAGAAATTGTCAAAAAAACCCCGACCCCTTGGTCAGGTAATGATACAAACAAGCGGCACACGGGCCGAAGAAAGTTTCCATATAAGAAAACGGGAGTTCAAGCAGTTTGAGGAGGACGTTCAGTGTCAGCAGCCGCTTCCTTTGGCTCCTCAACCGGCGGCTGTTCTTTTTCGGCATCCACCTCCTCCTGCGGCTGTTCTTCTTCGGCATCCGCCTCCTCCTTCTCCTCCTTGTCATCCTCTTCTTGGTCCGACTCCCCGAAAGTGGAGTCAAACGCCTCGCCCTCCGCATCTTCCTCACCATCCGCCTGGTCCATGATCTTCTTGTTATATTGATCAGTACAGATAGCGAATTGGGTCTCCCATTTTTCATAGCCAGACTCTAGGAAGAGGGCCGGCCAGGTCATCTTCATGATGGCACTGCAGTCGTCCATCATGTCCTGAACAATGGCCATTTTCTCCTCGCCAGCTTTCTCATTAAGCTTTTGGGTGAGCTGAGCCTCTTGATTCTGCAGGCGGCCCTTGAGTTTATTCACCCGGTTATGGAGTCCCTTGGCCTCCTTGTCCGCCTCCTTGAGAGGCGCCAGCTCAGCTTTGAGGTCCTTTAAGAACTTCTCTAGCTCCAAGATCTTCTTCCTGACCGCCTCTAAGTCCTTCTTGACCTACAAAGTGGCGGACGCCTGGTAAAACAGTATGTCAGTTGTCTGAATCTCGTTTTGAGCTATTTGGAACATAGCTTTATCAGAATCAGAGGCAACCATGGCCTTCGCAGCTTTTACCTCTTTGTTCTTCTCGTTGATGGGTTTGCGGAGACCAGACACTCGCAGCATAGACTGCACTCGGCTAAAAAACAGACGTCAGTTACAGGCGGCTAGGAATTTAAATATGCAATATGTTAAGAAATTCCACCAAGTATACCTCAGCAAGAAGAGCCAAGATGGTTTCTAAGTCAAGGGTGCCGACTCCCTTGACAGCTTCCCTCTCCTCCAGGGGGATGACCCTTAGCATGGACTTGGCGAGTTGAACCAGGTTCGGCTCTTGAGGGGAATCTGCAAAGTAGACCCTGATTAATACGCGGCATAAAAACAGAAAGCAGGCCGACTGATTTCAGAGGAGTCGTCTGCTTGATGAAACTTGGGAGATTTGAACAAATTATACCTCTCGCCGCCTCTTTCTCTCTCAGAGGCCAGCTGCTCCCCGGGGCAGCTGCAGTTCTTCCCCCGCTTTGAGGAGTCCTTCCTTGTCGTTCGGCCACATGTCTCCTGGCGTTGCCAGGAGTCGACACATCCCCAGTCGTCTGTTTCTTGACCTTGGGATCCGGCTGGTTAGAGGAGGAAGGTCTGGCTATGTCGCTCTGCAACACAAGTCATTGAGTCAAAAACAGGCGACAGATATAAAAAGAAATTGTGCTAAGTTAAAGTAGCTCACCCTAGGCGCCTGTTTGGCAGGCGACTCCTCAGTGGACCGCTTGCCCAGAATGGTCGCGCTGTACTGAGTGACTGCTTTCTTGGAGGCCGAGATTTTTTCCATAGCTTTATCTGCAAAAGAGGAATTAAATGGTTACACTGAATTATTCAAGTCTTTCAAGACACTCTAACAGGCGGTCCACTACCTCTCGGCATCTCCCCGCTAAGGCCGCATGCGGCCAGATATGTCCCATCGTATAACCAGTTATACTTTGGGATGTAATTTTGAGGGAGGAACTCCATCACCCCATTCTCGGGGTTCGCCTGTATATCAACTTTGAAGAGCCCTCTGTCTAGGATCTCTTGCTTTTTGAGGAACAGGCGGCAGATCAGATCCGCCTGTTAGGTAAGATGGATCCCTGTTCCACCTATTGAACTTCTTCTTCTGGACCTTGTCAGAATGGGAGACTATGTAGAAGGTGTTCCTCTAATCCTTCCACTTGTTCTCTTTCCCCATGGTCATCATGTAGCCCTTGTGGCTAGTCAGCTGGAACCAGTCAGTCTCGCTTGTTTTTGGGGTCCGACTGGGATAGTTCATGTGAGCGAATGCTTCAAAGTTGGGCTCTACCTCATGCATCTCACAGCCGGCAACATAGCCTAAAATATTGAACCAAGAGTTTGGGGCCAGTTGCCAGACTCCCAGCTAGTACCCATCTAAAATCCTCTCTACAGTCGGATGCAAAGGAAATCTCAAGCAAGCCTTAATGGTCGCTTCATAGCAGCCAAAACACTCGTCTCGGTAGCTGGCCGCCTCTGGCCAGACTACGGTATCCTCGGCATCCGACACTGTAAGAATGTAACCATGACCCATTACGTGGTAAGCCCTAAAACTACCAATCTTTTCAAACATGGCCTTCCGCCTGCCTTTGGAAACGTGGCAATAGTAAGGGGCAAACATGTCTCTTTGGGTTGCAGCCGGCTCTGCCCAGCCCTCTCCCTTTTCTACTGAATGACTTTCTCTCGCCGCATGAAGCCGAGAGTGCTTCTCCTCAGAGTTGTCAGAGTACCGACTGGAGGTGCTGGGCTCAGAGTCATTGCTCGAGCTCTCGAGCAAAGCATCCGCCTGCTCGGATAGATCAATAATAGGAGGGTCATTCTGTACCTCCTCCCCTGATTCTGCCAAAATAGAATCACTCGGGGTGCTTGGGACGCCTGGCAGCACGTCCGAGATCTCGCTGATAGGCGCATAATATGAGGAGCCGTCTGAATTTGTTATCCTGGTCGTTCTCTTTATTCTAGCCATGGTGTCCTGCACAGACACATAGACAGTCGGACTTAGGGCATTTTGCAAAGGCTAGTCCAACATGGGGCAGTCGGCACTCCTAGTTCTAGATTTAGCCGTCCCCGGTGACCGGTTGATCACTACCCTAGGTCGTGCCGTGTGCTTTTGGGCTACAATTTTCGAAAAAAGAAAAACAAAGAGAAAATGCAAAGTAAAGCAGGCGGTTACCTTTAACAAAAGAAGACTGAAGTTCTTGAGAAACGGGCGGCTGTTTGAGCAGGCGATCCAAAAGCAAGCGGTAGATGTCCAAAATGTCAGAGCTAAAGTCCAAAGTTTTTGTCTGAAAAGATTCTGGAATGTCCAAATGATTTGGACGTCGCCTATTTATAGGGGGGGAATTTCAAAGGTACAAAAAAAAAAACACGGTAAAAAACTGTTAGCCAATCAGAGCGTGACATCTGTCACAGGCGCCACATAGCAAGCCACGTCACCCCTGTGAGGGGTAAATGATTAGGGGATTTTCTCGCGCCACGTGGACCACTCTAGCTCTGCCACGTGTCATCCACGTGGACCAACTAGAGTCCGCCACGTGTCACCTCGCGAGAGGTCCGAGGTGGACCAATCATGCCACAACACGTGGCAGACAGGTAGCCAATCAGGAAAATGGCCTCCTACGGCCCAAATTCCTAGGCAAGCCCAGTCATACCTAGGTTTCTGAAACCTAGTACTGGGCACGTACTCCAATACCCTATAAAAGGGAGATGTTTCCCCTCGGGAACGGACGATTAAGAAATCATTAAACACACGCGTTCATTACTTGATGAGTATTAACTCCAGCTTTAATTGCGCTACTTGAGAGCTAAGGCTCGGATATTGAGACTGTCTCAGGCAGTCGGATGATCACTCCCCTTCCGAGAGGAGCCTGATCCCCTTTACTTTCCGCACTTTTTACATCCGAACTCGTTCTAACTTGATCGTCGGAGGCGGAACTCCCACCCACAGGAGTCTCCATTGTTTAGCAGGTACAGGTGTCCAGAGGTCAGTCTTGATGTTGTAACTCTCCCGCAGGACACATAAAAAACCCCGAAACAAAAAAGATAAGAAAGAATTCAGTTTTTGCTAACTAAATTTACCAGGAGCCACTGACCTTTATCCAGAAAAGCCAATTCAATCCTCCCAATTACATTTAAAATAACAGCAGAGCGAACTTCACAGAGGTTTTTCCAGCATTGCTCAGACTCTTCAGTCAGTAAGGTTTTTGTGCTTGTGGGGTTATGCATTTCATGATACCCATGTGCCTACATAATGAAAGCAAATTTTATAATCATCATCTATAATTTGAAAAAAGCATATACATGAAACTAAATAAGAGAGATTATTTCAATAAACTTTAGTACAGCTCATACAACCCTTACTAGTTACTAGTCAGGACAATTTTCTCTACATTATTTCAGCTGGATAAGGTTCATTATATCATGGATATGGCACTTAACATGAGTATACAATTGTACACTTTCACTATGATTCTTAATGCATATGGTGTCTCCAAAAATATGCAAACGTTGGTGGCTGAACCATACACGACATTAATAATGGAATCCATGCCTTATACATTTCTATAGGTTAATAATATATTTGCTCATTTGACAAAATGCAATAAACACATAAAGTATCTTTCAATAAACACATACAATATCTTTAAAAAAAAAAACACATACAGTAAACTGCAATAAAACAGCCCAAATGAGCAAATAAAAAAAAATTATAAATCAAATATGCAAAGCTAAATAAGAAAATAAACACAATTGATGAACACTGATTTAATCGTCAAAAATAATGGAAAGCGAATCCGAAGGCCGGGTTTAGTAATGTGTAGACACTGATTTCCTAATACCATCAACACAAGAACAACTAATGGGGATTCTAAGGAACAATTTTACACAACACAAGGTCTGCTTAAAAGCAACCATTATCACCCAATTTGTTACTAAGCTGAATGAATTGCAATTTTCGAACAGATAAATAATGGAACAAAGAAACTAAAAAAATTGAATAGAAATAGCAAAAATTGAATAAGCTTAGAGAAAATTTAAAACATAAAAACAAAGTAAAATGCCCAAAATCAATAAATTGATACTTACATCATTCGTTCATAAGTAACAATAGCTTCGGTTGAATCCATTTGATGAAGAATTTGCGATTTCTAGGGTTTCAACAAAATCACAAAAACCATATTCAATACCAAAATTTGAACAATTGAAGCCAAATATCAAAGGAAAAATTAATTGAAACAGCAAATACCTAACTATAGTTGTAGATTCAAGTCGAAATTCAAAGATATCTCAGCATTACGATCAAAGCAGTGTTCGTTCAGAAATTTTTGGGGAAAGAAGAGAGAGAAAGGCAAGACCTAGATCAATATCTAGAGAGAGAGAAAAAGTTGGACAATTTTTTTTTAATTTTTCTTATATACAATCTATAATTTACAGTAATGCCATTATTTTGACCGGGGTAGATGTGGAGCGTTGGATCTTGTTTGATCCAATGGTTATAAACTATTCTCACATATAAAGTGTTCTCACATAAGGAATGTGTTCTCACATGATCCCATATATATATGTGTGTGTATGTGTGTGTGTGTGTGTGTGTAATAATGAGGATGAATTCATATCTTAGGTAATTTGGTCTATTTAATGACCTGCAACATCTAATGTGAATTTGATTTTTTGGTGATACATGTTTAATACATTCATTCCAATGAGGAGTGCTAGCTAATTTTTTTTTTCTTTCTTTTGAATAGCAAAAATATTTCATTAATTAAAAGTCATACGACATCTACAATAGAGATTCGACATTAACAAATACATAAGATATTGAATCAAATAAAACTTTCCTTCATAAAAACTACGATTGTCGAGTAGATCTTGCACTGTGAAACATCTCCCGCTTATATTGCTGGAAAATGCAGCCTTGTTGGAGTGACAATCTAACGATTCTTTGTAGCTGTGAGGATGTTTTCCTTTTGATTCATTTGTCTATATTCGAAAACTTGATAACTTTTTCACCAACGAAATAATTTCACGACAATCCATTAAATCTAATATCATGGATTCAAAACTAAGAAATTTCTCCCCCGAAAAGAGGAGATAAACCTTGTCTTTCGAAGGAAGTCAAAAAACCCTTTTCTTTCGAAGGAGATCGAAAACTCTTTCTTTCAAGGGAGGGCTAAATTTAATACAACACGGAATTCAATAGTTAATTATTACTTGATGCTTGGTGGTGTTACTTTTTTATATAGTGTATGACAATATGAGTAATTGAGTACTGCACATCGCATCATGCGCTTGTTTTTTTGGTAGTCAAATCGGGGAATTTTATACTCCCTTGGTTTCTAAATAATTGACACGATAAAATTTGATATGATATGTTTTTTTCTTAAAGCCAGTTAGCACATATTATTAAAGCATAGAAAAAGTGTCAACAAGTTCATACGAAAAAACCTCGCTAGGAGCGTGGTTTTCCCAACATTGTTCACAACCGAACGGCACTAACCTAGCTAAGTGGTGGGCTACAAAATTCCCATAACATGGAACAAAAAATAGAAGAAAAAACAGAGCTAGAGAAGATGATATCTTCAGCAATGCTATCAACAGTGGAAAGAGTGAGGGAGTTCTTCAGAATCAGATTCAAGGATCACATCATTGTAACCATGATCTTTCGCCTTCTTCAAGCTAAATAGAGCAACCTTCCCTTCTGCAACAAGAGGATCCCAGCGTGCTTTAACTCTTCTCACAACAGCAAAGAGCACCTTACCAGAGCTATCACGAGCAACTGCCTTCAAGCCAATCCACCCCTCATCCTCGGTTGAGGCGTCTACATTAATTTTTTATATCCCCGGGTGGGGGAGGAGACCACACCACTCTGTTAGAAGCCCGAGGGAGTCCACCTTCCCATAGATTTTTATATATAATAATTGGAAAATTATAAGAAGCTAAAGTGAAAAGAATAGATAATAATAAATAAATATTTGTTACACCGATTTACTCGATTGATTTCCAAAAAATATGTTTCACGTGTCACTTTTTTTAAGTCCTACAAACTTGACATGTCAGCAATATGTATTTAAAAAATACTTATAGCAAGACTTGAACTTGAGACCAATAAGGCTTAAGTTACATGTCTTACCATCTTAGCCATTTATTTATTATGTTTATTTATCCAACAAAATTATAGTTAACTTAGATAAGGTAATTAGTGTTTTATTATATTATTTGTTTCCATTATGTAATGATTGGGTTTGACAACTAAAAAATGCTTATAGCAAGACTTGAACTTGATACCAACCAGTCTTACTATCTTAGCCAGTTATTTATTGTTCTTTTCTGTCCAACAAAATAATAGTTGACTTACATAAATAATTAGTGTTTTTATTATACTATTTGTTTCCATTATGTAATGATCATAAGACGATTTAACAACTTAAATTTTGAAGTTTGAAAAACTCTATATTATATATTTTTCAAATTGATGAAAAATAATAATTTTAATTTCCTATTAAATAGTCAATAGTTTTTGAATGTTTGACATATATCATAAGATATCATATATTGAATATAGTTCTCAATACAAATCTTTTTTCAACTCATGAAATTTGAAGATGATTATCAAGATACTAAGAAAACAGTCGAACTTGATTAGCAAACTAAACAAGCTAAGTACAAACTAGCAACCCCGAGGCATCGTCCGGGCCACACACTAGTTTTAATATTAAAAAAGAAAATATGTATAATAATACCCATAATTAGTATTATTATTTATATATAATAAAAAATTGATATTATGAAACTTTATATTAATACCTACTTCACTAACACACGTAAGCTCAATTAAATCAATGCTAGCATTTTAGTAGATGGCACTCATGGCAGAGCAATGGAGACATGAATTACTAGTAATTGGGAGAGGCGAAAGCAAGGAACTGTGGATTAGACTCTAAGACTTGCACCTCTTTCTCTTCTAAGAAAAACCATGCTTCAATTCCTTCACCATTACTAGGGTGAATGTAATTAGTGAGGTAGATAAAATGAGCAACTGTAGGAGGAATTATTCTCCCATCAGTAGGAACAATCCATTCGGGCTTCCCGAACCCAAAGTCTGGCTCATTCAGTCCAAGGTTGCACCAGCTGCTAAGCCGGAACATGCCACCATCCTTATGATCTGATATACCTTGCAACTAATGTAACTAAAGAAGTTTAAATAATGAAGGTGTTACAATTCACTTTATGCTTGTTTCTGTTTCATATATAACACATTTTAATTTTTTTTAATAGTTACACTAACTATATCCCAAGCATTGAATGGGCCAAACAACACATAAAAAGCATGACAATTTAACAAAGAAATAAAAGTGAGCAACTTGTGGGTTTTATGATTAATTATGAGAAGCAAAGGCAAGAAAATATGGGTTGGACTCTAAATTTTGCATCTCTTTTTCCTCCAAAACCAACCATGCTTCAATTCCATCTCCACTATTAGAATGACAATAATCAGTTAGGACGAAAAAATTCCTAAATTGAGGGGGTTGTATTCCATCTGTAGGAACAATCCATACGGGCTTTCCGAACCCGAAATCTACCTCATTCAAACCCATTTTGCACCAGCTGCTAACTCTTAAGATGCCGTCCTCAAGTTGAATAGAATGTTGTAACTCAGCTTCCGCAGTTTTCCTTTGAAAATTTATACTTGTTATTTTTTGGTAGGTATTGGACAAAGCTGAATGGATTTCTTTAACAAGTTCTTGAAGCTCAGAGTTGCTACTTTTATTAGCCTCTAGTACATGTTTACGTACTTGTGTTTGTGCGATTGTGATGGGGTTACCCATGGATTCTTTAGGGAGTGGCGGGTTCATCCTCGGCCGCATGTTCACAACAATTGATAACGCTGTATGTTCAACCTGCATTCCCAAATTAAGCCTCGTGGCCAAGGTTTGCTCCCATACAAACCCTGCCACGGCCTCGAATCCCGTAGGTTTAGGAATTAGGTCGCTTGTTGCCTTGGCCTTAAGTTTGCTTATGGCAATAGGATCGAATAAGAAACTTTTAATCACATTATTTGATACAGGTGGAGGTTCCAAAGATGAAATAGGCGAAGATTTGGATTCGGGCTTAGGAAGGGGAGGAAATGCATTGATAGTGGCTGCAAAGTTGGGTTGGACAAGGTCATTTAAACGCTTACTAGCGAGGTTCGACCAATACTTAAGGAAGGTTCCTAGGGAAGCTATGTCAAGGATTTTATGGAGCATGTAGCATCCAATGATAACCCCTCCACATAGGAAAACATTGATCTGAAAAGCTAAAGGGACAAGTTCTGAGATTGACTGTAACTCCGGGGGAGGGAGAAACTTGGTAAGCAACTTCAACTTATGAGGTGACGTCAATGCAACTGAGAGATTACAATTGACATTAGTTTCAATAAATGGTATGCCTTCATGGTTGCAAGAAATGGTCGACTCATCTAAGAGTCGACCTGCAAGAGGGAAGAATTGGTCGAGTGTTTGGCTAAGGGATGTTTTTAGGCCACTTATATTTACTCCGCCTTGTGGTGTTGGGGACTCGGCAGTGAAGAAAAGGAGTATCGGGACTTGTATGGTAGGGAAAGTTTGATCGATGAGGGAAAGGGTGAACGTTGTTGGGTGAGAGGAGGGTGGAAATGATGGTTTTACCATTTCCTTTGATAATATTTTTACTTCTACTTCAAACTCTTGTTCCATTGAATTTTGGATTGTTTCCTTAAAGTTTTATCTACAAAAAAGAAAGAGATGATATGATTGTATTAGTTTACTTGCTTAGCTTTTTTCAATTCTTCTAAGAGGAATAAATAGGCAACTCCCACCATATATAGTTTCTTTTTCCAGTAAAATGCCCATTTGCTAATGACCTGCAACAGTAGATGTGAATTTGATTTTTCTTGCTGAAGTTAATTAGGATAATATTGGTGGTACATGTTTTATTGACTTTTTTCATCATTCCAATTTGGCGTGCTGGCTAAATATAAATACTCCGTAGAACACAACATTCAATCGTTGATTATTATTAGTTGGTAAGTTGATATTGCTTTTTCTTGATTATCATTACTTGGTAAGTTGGTATTACTTTTTCTTCTTAAAAAAAAGTTGGTACTCCCTCCGTTTCATAATGTTAGTCTCATATAATTTTTTTGGCGTTTCAAAAAGATATACTCATATTAAATATGTTCTATTTTTAAATTAATTTTTTTGAAATTAATTGGTTGTGGATTGATGACATAACTCTAAGTAAGGAAATTTGTACCTTGAATTATGCAATTATGATTTATGTTTTCCCAAAAAAAAATCAATAAACTTAAATAAGGTAAACTAATTATGAATTATTTTGTACTTTAATTTTAGATTCCAAATATTCTTCTTTTCTTATTTTATGTGATTGATTCCATATGGACTAACCTTATGAAACGGAGGGAGTATTACTTTTCAGCTCCGTTTCTGATATTTTGGTGACCCAGGGCAAAGATATAAATTGTGGCACTAATTAACAAAATAAATAATAATATTATTAAAAAATTGGATATGTAATTTTATTTTAATTTTTTCCCAATACATATTTAATAAGATTAAGTGATTAATATTCTTTTAAAAACATCAAATTTCATGTATAAGCCCCTAACTGCAAAATCACCACCGTACCCCACAAAACCCTCCCCTTACAGCCACTGCACCAATAAGCATCGAAAATTTGGTTTTTTTTTCACAGGAAATTAAACAAATATCATAAAATTAAACAAATTTTATAAAGTTACATAATTACATATATGAATTATGAATTAAAAAGGAACTTACAATTTACAATCTATCATCACCTTCGGCAATGGTTCAAGCCAACCAATCAAGGTAACTTTATTCCCCAATTTTAAAATTTGTGAATGAAATTATTCGAATCAATTATACCGATTAATGTGTGTAAAAAAAAAATTATACCGATTAATCAAAAATTAATGGAAAGAAGAGAATTTGATGAGTGATGGAGGACATGCAAGGTGGAATATATGCAATTAGATTAATGCAGTTGAAAATTATACAGTGAAATGATCTTTTTTGAAAATTTTCAACTTCAATTGAATCATTTGACCTGAAATTGAAAAAAGATACATTTTTGAAAAATTAAACTACCAAAAGAAGGGGATTATAATATAATTTTTAAGGGGTGAATTAGATTATTCACTTTGGAAAGTAAAATTTTTGGGCGGAAAATTAGGGAGGATGAACCAAAAATGGGTTTTGATAGTCTTTTGGTACTCTATGACGTTACACTTGCTTTTTTTCTTTAGGGCATTTTTTTGGGGCCTTCTATTAAGTGAATTTGGGCTTCTCAAGTTAGGGCCTAGGGCGGCCGCCCCAACTGTCTTGCCCTTGCTACGGGCCTATTACTCTTCTTGGGTGACAATTCGAGTAACAATACGGATTTGGGTTGGGTTTATCGGTTTCAGGTAATAACGTGTTGGGTTAAATCAAGTTCAATTGAATTGCGGGTAGGTTTAGAAAATTATCGGGTCAGTTCAGTTTGGTTATACTGCAGCTCTAATCGGTAAGGTATTATTCGGTTAAGGTTGAAATCGGTACGGGTCATAATCAATTTGGCTTGAACTGGGTTGGTTTGGATGGGTTTAACCGGTTTTAAGCGGGTTTTGATTCAATACAAATTAGTTAAATCAAGTCGGTTCATTAATATCGGTTCAAATAATAATCTATTTGGGTTGAGCTGAGTCAATTTGTAAACTGGCTTAACTAGTTTGAAGCGGGTTTAGGTTCATATCATGATGGCTTAAATCGGGTCGGGTTGGGTCATTATCGAATTTGGTTAATCAGAAAACGGGTGGGAATTGAACACATTGGGTCATAATCGAGTTAAATCCTAAATAACTAGGATTTATCGAGTGGGTTGAAATGGGTTGTGTCAAAATCGAAATGGGTTCCAAACAAGTTGGGTAAATTGAGTAGCGGGTAAGAACAAGTCGGGTCAAAATTGAGAGTCAGGACTTAACCAAATTGAGTTAATTAGGTTGTAGATAGGAATAGATAAGGTTAAAATCAACAAGTTGCTTGTTGTAAACGATTCGGACACAATGGGTTATAGGTTGGAAGTGGTTCAAACACAATAGGTTACTGATTGGAACGATTCGAATTTATCGGGTTATTGCCTAATGTATACACTTTCGGTTTAAAGTGGGTTGGGTTACTATTAGGTTGTTCTCGCTTTTCGTTTGTAACGATTTCGGCTTTATAACGATTACACGTCATAAATAGGTTCAAAAATTCGAGTCCTTTCAGTTTCGGGTTTTAAAAAATTCGATGATGGTGTGTGGTGGTCTGGCGGAGATGGAGAGTGTTGTGCGGTTTTGTCATGGCGTGTTCTTTTTTTTTTTTAATGTATTCAATTGAGTAGTGTGTTGTGGAGAGTATTAAGGAAAACCGCAACTTTGAATAGCGGTTTTATACTCTCTCCGTGTTTTAATAAGTGTTACACTTCCTTTTTTAGCAAAAAGCTACATTTTAATATTATATTTCTCTCCTCTCATGATCCCCGTCTAAACTCACTACTACTTTTTTTTTATTATTATTTCTTTCCTCTCACATACATTACTTTTCAATGAATTATTAACTCCCCTATGGTCTTTTACAATTTTTTAATACTCCAACTACATACCTCACTTACCTCTTATTTTATTTAAGTCAATTAAATTACCTAAAACTATGTGTCGGTCAAAATATAACACTTATTAAAACACAGAGAGAGTACTAAGGCCCTATCTGGTAATTAGCTGTTAGCTGGTTGACATAGCTAATTATATTAACTAGTTTGACTAGCTATTCATATTAGATGATTTGACTAGCTGGTTGTAAATAGTTGATTATGTAAAATCGTTTAGTAAATAAGTGTTTATTGTTAGTTGTTTCAGTGAAATCAATACTAAAAAAGCTAATTGTTCAATAAGCTAATTTCAAAAAACTCTTACAATCAGCTTTTTCTTAAAGAGCTTTTTGACCCCAAAAGACTCTTTTAATAAGTTATTTACCAAACACCAAAATTAGCTTTTTAAAATGGTCAAACCTCTAATAGTTTTCAATAAGCTAAAAGCTTTTCAAAAAGTTCTTTACCAAATAAGGCCTAAAACCGCTACTTCAACCACTATCTGATGTAGCGGTTTTGTCTTTAAAAAATTAGTCACCCAAACATATTTTCCAGCATATATAGACAACAATTTTGTAAATAAGTTTATTCCATGCAAAAATGTAAATAAGTTTCAAATGCGCCATACTTTTCTAAATCATCCACAACCACATAACGACACGTAAACACTGCATTACTACTTCCTCGGCCCTCCCTACAAAGGACTAGTTCACATATAATTAATCTTCTTATTCCGTATTAGGTTTGGACACACTGCTTTTAAATAATTATGTTAGGTGGGGTGAGAGTGCGAAGGAAGAGTTAGTGGATAGGGATTGGATAAAAATTTCATATTCATTTTTAAAAATGAATAATACTGAAAAATTATTTGGGGACATCAGGAGTACAAAATAATGTTGTTGATCGATTAACATCGAAATTTATTTTCAACACTTAACTAACACACATAAGCTCGATTATTAAACCAATGCTAGCAACCTAGTAGATGGCAGAGCAATGAAGACATGGATTACTAGTAGTTAGGAGAAGCGAAAGCAAGGAAATGTGGATTAGACTCTAAGACTTGCATCTCTTTCTCTTCCAAGAAAAACCATGCTTCAATTCCTTCACCATTAATAGGGTGATTGTAATTAGTGAGGTATATAAAATGAGCAACTGTAGGAGGAATTATTCTCCCATCAGTAGGAACTATCCATACGGGCTTCCCGAACCCAAAGTCTGGTTCATTCAGTCCAAGGTTGCACCAGCTGCTAAGCCGGAATATGCCACCATCCTTATGATCTGATATTCCTTGCAACTCAGCTTTTCGCGCTGACCAGATAACCTCTGGTGGATTATCCCCTTGAAAAGTAGTAGTGATTTTCTGGTTGGTTCTAGACAAGGCTAAATGGATTTCCTTGACAAGCTCTTGAAGTTTATGTCTGCTGCTTTTATCGACCTGTGCTCGTGCGTTTGTAATTAGGTTACCCATTGATTCCCATGGAAGCGGTGGCTTCATCCGAGGCCGCATGTTTACAGTCATTGAGAACGTTGTATGCTCAACCAGTGCACCTGAATCACGTGCTGCTGCCAATGCTTGCTCCCAAACAAACCCTGCCACAGCCTCAAATTTGGTAGGTCTAGGAACTACCTCACTTGTAGCCTTGCCTCTAAGCTTGCTTAAAGCTGCTGAGTTGAACAAGAAACTCTTGATCACTGTAGTTGTTGGACTCGATTGACTGGGTGGAGTTTCAGGTAGGAGTTGTTCTCCCCTACTAGGTAGTGGAGGAAACGCCTCGATCCTGGCTTCAAAATCAGGTTGGACTAGGTCCTTAAACCGCTTACCAGCTAGGGCAGACCAATAATTAAGAAAGATTCCTATAGAGGCTCCATCAAAGAGTTTGTGGAGCATGTAACACCCAATAACCACCCCACCACAGAGGAAAACATTGACTTGAATGGTCAATGGGATCAATTCTCGAGTAGGGAGGAATTTGTTAACCAGCTTTAGCTTATGAGGTGAGGTCATGAAGACAGAGAGATGGCAATTGACTTTGGTTTCAATAAAGGGTATGCCATGGTCATTGCAAGAAATGGTCGAGTCATCTACAAATCGGCCTGCAAGAGGATAGAATTGGTCAAGAGTTTGGCTAAGTGACATTTTTAGGTCACTTACAACATCTCCGACTTGTGGTGCTGGAGAGTAGAAAAGCAGGACGGATACGTGCATAGCAGGGAAGACTTGATCGAGGAGAGAGAGAACTAAAGCTTTGGGATGCGAGGATGGTGGAAGTGATGGTTTTATAGTTTCCACTGATACTATTTTCACTTCTAAATCCTGCTCCATAGATGTTCCTGTAACTGTGATACTTTAAAGAAAGATTGGTTTTTCCTGCATTTCTAATTTCTGCAGCTAAGCTTTTTATACTACTCTAGCAGCAAGACTGCAACTATCAAAAAGTCAATCTACTAAATTTAATTTTAGCAGGTTAACTACTAATTTTGACCATTGTTAAGACACATCATAAACTAAGAATTGGACGGTTGGTTGTCCTTCTCAATCATACGAGGACTGATAGAGGATGAAATAAAATTATATGATGCATTTTTAAAACACTCCAAAAATAAAATCATACTGCATCTTTTTTAAAACACTACTTGTACACTCTCCGTTTACTTTGTAGTCATACTGCTTTTGGTGTTTGTACGGAAAAGAGGAAGGGGCAAGGGCAAGGGTGAGGGCGGGGGTGGCCGCAATAGGACACAAGCAACAATACAACGGAAAAGCAAGAAGAGCATCATCTGATCTCATAAAAAGTACTTATGTCGTTTCTTTATAGCTACAACACTTCCCTAAAATGGAAATGTCACAATAGTTACAATACACTATAAAAGGAAGATTTTATGGTGAAAAATTGTATAAGTACCTTTATATAAAGCTCATGGCCCACTCGATTATACTCCTAACAACCTTTTAACCCCATTTTAAGTGTATTATATCATGTGAGGTCCACTTTTTTTAAATAGCGTGATAAAGTGTGTTGCAACAATAAAAAAACGGAGGAAGTATTAATCAGGAACAAGGGGGACCGGGGTGAGAAGTGAAGAAACCTGTCAATTACCTTCAAAAATTTGGATTTATGAAATCGTCATGTTCTGTATGAGAGCCTTCCATGTCACACTTGATTATAAAATGGTAGACGAACGAATTTCATCTGTCTGTATTACAATGCACAAACTTTTGGATCACAGATTCACAGGTTAAGGAGAATTATATGTAGTCTGTACAGCAATGAGTATTTTCAAAGGGTTTTCTTTCAATATAATTGGCATAGATCTCATGCAAACACCTGATAGCAGCAAGCATCAGAATATCCAGCATCTGCAACCCCTTGAGTCTTGGGGTCCCTCAAACCAGCGATCCCACGATGGATTTACAGGTCCAATGGTTCTATTAGACATGAATAAGACGTAAATCAAAGGGAGAAAACATTTATACAGAGATAAGCTTTTCTTTGATATTAATGCAGGATTTTAAAAACAATCAAGAGATAGATATAGTGACCAATGTGAGGAGGCATACTCTGGGAGAAGAGGATCTGGTTTTGCTTCTACATTACCCATCAATCTGAAAGACAGAAAACAATTATGGGCAATGTCAAAAAAAAAAAAAAATTATCAAAGATAGGCCAATATCTAAATCTAGCAAGGTAAAATTTGAGCTTCCCATTATATTTTGAATGATTAGACCTATCAAAAGGGTCTGTTGATTCTGAATTCAGATCAAACAATGCTCGTTCAAGATCCAAAGTGTTTGATCTTGGGTTGATCCAACATATTGAGAAATTTGAGTTTTTTTTTTTTTTTCAATTTTGGATCATATATATAACGATATATACACAATATGTGTAGGAGATAGCAAGTGTTGATATATATTATTAATTGTTGTCAAATTCAACCCACAAATAACTATATCCAATTATAAAAAAATATATCAAGAACCAACTACTTGAATAATTAAAGGTATTGTTTGCAATAAAGTTCTCATTAATCATTAAATTACACCCTCCTTCTCTAAATGTTGTTCCTAACTTTTTTTTATGAGAAAATCACCCTCAAAATTTTGGGTTGGTAAGGAGATATCAGGTCTGTAGGGTTCTTGTCACAAAATTTTGTTCAAAGCACATTATTCTCAGGTCAAGTTGAATTTTGACAGGTCTATGAAGGATGCATAATTACCTTCTAAAAAGAAAATTTTATAATGTTGAAGTACTAGGCATCTCGCCTTTTGTTTTTGGTTACTTACTCTTTGCATGCAGATGTCGCATTCTCAGTCTTTTCTAGCTGCTCCAGTTCTTCCTGCTTACAAAGATCGCGAACTGAAATTGAGATTAATCATGGCATAAACCGTCATTCCATCACTCGTAATTCCACTATGTACCAAAACATAAAATGCAACACCAGAATCAAAAAAATATATATCAGGACGGAATCCTCTACCCAAACCCCAATAGAAAAAATGTATTATAGTCTACTTATTCAACACAATCAGATGTTAAGGCATGAAAGCAGAGAACTCCCAGCTTATAAGCAGTTTGCTGAGAAAATATGCAAATCTGAGCCAGAGAAAAGCTACAGCAAAGACGTCGCCTTTCTATATTAATTTATCCAGGCATGGGATGCAGAAATTGGGTAACTGTGTTGTATTTAACTACTTATTTACCAAGGGCATGATATTCATTTGTTTCCAACTATTCTGCATCCAAACACTTCAAAAACAAAGCTGATTATCTGAATATTGTCCACAGAGGCACAAAAGGCACCAGAAAAATAGAGAATAGTAGGGGGAATATAATATAAGAATTGGAATTGGTCAAGGATATGTAACTTGTAAAGCCAAGATAAGTTTTACAAATTCTCCATTCCAATTCTTTCCTAAAATAAACTTGCGACAGAGGTGTTGACCTTCAACTATTATGAGATGGTTGCAGAACACTCAGCCCATTATCCAGAAAAATCTAACATGTATTCGTCAGCATCCTTGCTGCCGAGAGTAACAACACCCAACCAATTCAATAAATTAGCCTACATGTTACTACCTTCGTCTCAAAATAGACTCCCTTTCCAATAAATTTGCTCCTTAGACATAATAACTATTCTTAAAAGTCATGCCAAAGCCAACGAACTTCTTCGAATAACTATTTTAAAAACCCATGAGAAAGCCAACAAAGAAATTCTTCTAATAACTATTCTTAAAACCCATGCCAAAGCCAGCAAAGAAGTTCTTCTAATAATCATTCTTAAGATCATACCTAAATGAAAAAAATCTTTTAGGAACAGAGGGGCTACCATTATGAAGCAGTATATATTTCTCTGATGAAGCTGGTTTATCTACAGGGACTGAATCATCTCCATTAACCACTCAAAAACTTGCAAATCTTTGCATATAAAACAAACGATGGTCAAAGTAGGATTTATGAATAGTGTCAAAATTCAAAGTGTAACCAATATATTGAAACGGAGAAAGTATGAAAAATCTAGTGTCCCTGACTTTGTGTGTCCTGTTGATGACCAATTCTTATATATGACACTGCTATAAACAACACAAACATGTAACACCCCATCCCATTACCTATTAAAGTTACTGTTGGGACTTGGGCCACACTAACTCACTACAAACCCCATATTTCTCTGTTGCAGGGCATCCCATTACCTATTAAAAAAAAAAATCCAACTGATGGAGTTATGGACCCAGATGAACACTACCCTTCCATTCCCTTCTAACACCCCCCCATTCCTTCTTTTCTGCTTGCACACTACGACTGGCTAACGGCACCTACTGGTGCAGCCTGCCTTGGCAGTAGACCCTGGTGACAATTGATGGTGTCCATAGGCCATTAGACCCCTCTGCCCTCTCATTCCCCTTTCCTGGTCCTCCCTTGACTTGTTCGTTGTCCAAAAATCTCCCAGATAATTCAGCAAGGGAATTCAAGGAGCAACCCAATTAAGAAAACATCTGAGAGGCACATATACCATAGAGAAAAAACAAAACATCATTCTCTTAGGAAGACTACCAAATAAATGCCAGCTTAATTTGGCCAATTCTTACAATCCACACAATCCTGGGAAATTTCATGCTATTTACTTGCCATAATGATTTCATCCTTTGTGCATCCCAAAAAAACAAATTGAACCTGTACATGTTCCATGCACCATGCATGTTCACAAACCAGCCCAAACCACAAACAATCTGTTCGTCATATAAGAAGATAGTCCTTTACACGAAAACACATGGCTATGAGATTTCTCACTATTAAGGAACAAAATACAAACATTGACCAGAGTGTTCATTACTTCGTTAGCAAGACCGGTGTTTAAGTAGTCTTACAAGAAAAATACCAGACTTTTCACCCTCAAGAAAAACCAACAGACTTGCAAGTGCACACAGATTATTCTCCTGAGGCTTACAATTAATAAGAGAATTCTACAAAGAACCCAACCTACTCTAGCCATGAAATTAGAAATCAGGAACCAGGTATTTACATCGAAGCAATGACAAAGACAAGGAAAAGACACAGAAGACAGTTACAGCAAGTCAGCAACACCAACACAGACTTTGCACTTGATAGAGATTTATATATTCCTCAGTCCTTAGACCTTACCATACAACAGAAAATTTAATGAAGATATATAAGATACATGTTTCCATGGAATGAAAAAGAGGCATTTGTACCAGGAAGGGTATCCCTAACTTTTTTTAAAGCCGATACTTTATGATATAAAGCCAAAGCGGATCATGTTCAAAAATAAATCACCATAAACTACCCATCAACCAAGAATTTTTTATCAAATACCAATGCAAATACCCACCCCGTCTCTTTAAGCTTACAAAATCAATTTCATACCACAAGATGATTCATCTTACCCTCCGCTTCCCTAGACCAGAGATACTTCCATGGCCTTCATGACTCTTCACAAAATGAAGAGGAATCCTATAACAACAGGTAATAGAGTTGGACCTTAGATAAAAAAAAAAACTTTATAACCATATTGATATTATACTTCATGATCTGAAGCCAGAGAGAGTCAGGTTCAAGAAGTAATCATCACAGCTTCACATCTACCAAGAAAACATTCACTAGATTCTAAAGGCCCAGCCCACCCAGCCAACCCCTCCTCTTTAGATCTACAAACCTTATTCTATCTCACAAGGTCGTCACTCTTATCCTCCCCCAACCCAGACAAAAGATATCCTATAATGACCTTTACAGACTTCGATCAGAACTAAGGGGAAGGTTAAAAAGAGAAAGGTGACATGGATAGGCATTCAATAGGAAAAAAGAATAAATAAATGGTTGTAATAATAATATAAAATTAAAAGACCCTTGGCTACCAACCAAACTTGGTCCAATCATTTTCACCACATGATCCTATAAAGAGGCCCACTTGAAATTCTTTTCCAAAGGAATACCAAAAAATGTAAGAGGAGAACAATATATCCCAATAACATTTTCACCACATGATCCTATAAAGAGAACCCCTTAAAAGCCTCAATAGTTCAAGAAAATATTCCAATAACATGTCAAAGTTTAAACCTTAGCTGAGGGGGGCAAAATGAACCACATTCCCGACGACAAAAAATAACAAAGTATATAAACCAAGGTCTTTACATGTACTTTACTTCTCCTTATGGGTTTGACTCACTTATTCCCCAACATGTCAATAGTTTAGCTTCACTAGTTCTAGTCCCTTCATAGATTTTATTTCCAAATTAGTTCTTGCACAATGCTCCTTCCATCCCATAGTATAGTGTCTATTTCATTTTGCATGGTCTTTAAGACTTACCATTGACCACCAAATTATGTATCAATGAAAATTATAAAAAGTTGATATTATAAAAGTTCACATTGAGATGAATCTAACAATAAATCACATGATTATATTTTTTAAATATATATTATTGAGAATCTTTGGTCAAAATTTTCAAAATTTGACCATGAAAATAGAAATGAGCTTTTATTATGAGATGGAAGGAGATACATAATGAAATTCCCCAACTATCCCAAATATTTTTAATAGTTTACAGGCATAATAACATACACGCATTAATAAAATATCACTTCAAGCCAATCCAAACATCATGCAAAATTCCTTAGAAAGTTGGAACTTGCATTATCAACTCATAAACAAGAAGAAAATCCACCGCGCAAACCCCCCCTCCCCAATAAGAATTGTATAATCACAAAACTAGAGAACAAGAAAAGCAGAACCATATTTACAAGCTTACCTCCACAAATCTAGTTTCCTGTTCAAGCCGCTTTAATTCAGCTATTATTCGATGCTTCCCTCTTGCATCAACTGACTGAGCCTGCTGACTCATATCTGCATTCAAACACCAAAACCACCAAATCAAAATGTACTGAAATTACACATGCTGAGTCAATGTAAAACTAGTAAGGGATATACTTCCTCCTCTTCATAGTTTTGCGCCATGGGGGGAGGCACAAGTTTTTAGGAAGTGGGTAGAAGGTGAAGGGAAGCTAATAATACCATGTGAAACACCTAAAAAACCCAAGTGGGTAAAAGAAATTGTAAGGCCTTGAAAAAGTATTAGTAAGGGTATATTAGGTACTTGTAATGTGAAAAGAGAGATTGAGTTTCTTTTAAAATAAAATGGTGCAATATTTGTAAAACTTTCCTGAAAGATAATTAGTGCAATATTTGGTGGAATGCAGGAACTATATATATTAGGGGGGGAGAGAGAGAGAGAGAGAAAGAGAGAGGCTTTATCAAATGAGTATTCTCAATTTTTATGAATATTGGAGGCAAATTTCAGTATGAGCAGTGCTATGGCAAGAAAAACTAGTTTTTCTTCACTCTTACAAAGCTTTGCTGTCTGTCCTTTTCTTCATTATACGTTCAGAGCAAGAACTATGCCCAAACAGGAAACTATATGCAATCTTCAATCTCTGCTACATCAGTTTTTCACCAGTTATAACAGACACAAACAGTCAGCTCACAGCTCACTAAACGTTTATTCAGATTATATACCAGTGTATAGAGTCACTTTCTGCTCCTCAAAAATTGTGCTAAGTTTGCGAAGGAAACTCAGTGTTATGCAGGGCTTTAGGTACTAACTTGCCTAACTTTGAAACTCGAAATATGCAATCTAGGAGCCTCCTAAGGTATGTTTTTCAACTCAAAGACTCAATCATCAGCTCAGTCAGCAGCCCTAGAATTAGCAAAGGATATATCATGTCAACAGATGTAGAACTTGGGTAGGAAGACTGCTTCTTAGGCCGACCATTACATAAGAATGGAGCAATAGTGAAGCCAAGCCATATGAAGGTAAGCAATAGAAAGCGGGCGCCATTGTGAAGGTTTCAATTTAGCCACTAGTGAGATATCTATTACCAAGTGACATGAAAGCTGATTAAACAGTTGTCAATAGAGAATTAAAAGAAAGTGCATTAATCGCCATAATTACTCCTTCCATTCCATGAAGTTCTTCTCAATTACAATTCATGTTGTAAAAGCTAAAATATGAGACCTTGTTGAATTCGCTTCATCGTGACTTTTACATGTTAAATGTAAATGTGAAGAACTTCGTGGAACAAAGGAGCATTATCAAAAGGAAAAGGTCAAGTTAAGCAATAAAGAAAAGTTAATGATGAAAACAATAAGTCATTTTCTTAGGAAAGCTAAATACGAAAATTGCAAGGAGAGAATTTTGAAAATGAAAGTGTATTGAAACAAATCCTTGGCCATCTATAAATATGGCACTTCATTTTCGATTTAAATAAAAATAAAATGTGCTTATTAACAAAAGTAAGATTGTCACATACACTAAAAATGGTTGTCCCTAATAGATTGTATCATACTTTATTTGGTAAACTTTCCCACTTGTAATCCTTTGCTCTCTCTCTCTCTCTCTCTCTCTCTCTCTCTCTCTCTCTCTCTCTCTTTCCTTATTTATAATTGTGCCCACCCATATGCACAAATTTGTATTGCTCCCGAAAAAAAGTAAAGTTAAGGGTTTGAGGCAATCTTTTAGGCACGGAGAGAGTCAAAATACAGTGTTCATTCTAATTTAAAGCTCTATAAATCTAATAGCCCTACTACATAGTCTAATTTCAAACCCTTGTACATCAGTAAATCATAAGACTTTAACTCAAACTCAGAATTAACAATATTAAACAATTTAGAAAACTACGAAATCAACTGCTTTCACACCGGGGGAACAACATCCAAAGCAAGGATCCCAAGGGTTATGTTCTTTATTTCTTGTTTAGCAGAAACTAATCGAGCTCTGTTTGATCTCCCAGAAGCGGAAGCTGAATTAGTTGCAGGCTATAATGTAGAGATTGCAGAATTCTATAATATGATTTCTATATGCTGTTCTCACTCCTACAGCCAATAAAATATTATCACTTATTATTTTCCAAGTCAACAGCCTCCATTTTCAGTAAACCGTATTATATTCAACCCCAAATAGATAAAACCAGTAACTACCACTAACAGCTAATCACCAATATATGCATTTCTTTCCAAACGTCAGTCAAGTGTGAATAACCAGTATAAAGTGCACACGCAAAATCCAAATTCACATACGACAAAAACACTTATAGATTTCCAAACTATTTCTTTATGAACCAATCATATATACTCAGTAGATTACATAAGTTAAGCAAATTAGCTTTGCGTCAATGACAGCTGATCTCTTCAATCCAGCCATCAGATCCAATATGGTTGCCAAATATATAGTACATCTATACGCACAACCCTGCTTACTAGCAAATCCATCTACCATGTGACCAAGCAGACCACTCAAAGTGTCCATTAAAAAGAGGACAGTCCATATCGTTCCAAATCAATTATCAATCAATTTCAGTTTTTAAATAAAAATTTCTTATTACGACAACAATAATCCATTGCCTTTCTAGAGCAAGTTCAAAAAACCCATCCAATGCACAATACAGTCATTCATGCCATCAATCCAAATATTATGAATATCCACAATCATACTTAGATAAACAATAATAACCTAAGGACTACAAATCCAACCAAGAAATCGTATATACACCTAAATAAAATCCCATTAAAAACTGCTGAAGTCCTTCTGAAGGGCACCTATCCATGCCCAACAATTTAAGTGGTCCATTAGGGATGCTAAACCTTCACGCTAAACTTGGATAGGAGTAGACTCAACTCGAGTAATAGTTTTTAGCAGATCTAAGCTCAACTAGCCTCAAAAACCACGCTCATATCAGACTCCAATAACCTCAAAAATTCTAGACTCGGCTCGTGGGCAGCGTGATTCTCCAATAATGCAACACATTAGCAACCAAATTTGTACCAATTATCGATTTAGGCTTGAAAAATCACATATATCGCTTACAAACACCAACGTAAATTGCGAAATAGCAAATTCTAGCAACAAAATCCTGCAACTCGTAATCCTCCTAGAAAGGTATGTTTCAAACATGAGTGAAAGTTCCCAAAAATCAACAAGAGTCGATCACATCCTTCCATAAACAGTACGAGCATCACCCCCAACCCTGTGAATTAGGTGAAAATAGGAAACTCCGAATTCGGAACAATGTTTTTGATGAAAAAAAAGCAAATGAACAATCCCAGTGAATTAAATTGGGTCCATAAATCTAAAAAAAATGAAAATTCTCTCTCAATTCGAAAATCCAGAATTAGAATCGATGCACTCGTTATAATCAATCATTAATTCAGTAATTAAAGCTAAAAATTCAATGATCCGAGTTTGAAGAACCCTAAATTGACTATACTAACAATCAGATAATGACAATGTGAAATTAAACCCAAATTTAGAAATTGATATTCGATGAATAAGAATTGAAAAAGTTTCTTACCTCATAAGCTGGTTCAATGGAAGAGAGAAAGCTGAGAAGCGGCTTCAATGGAGAATTCTGAGTCCGCTTCAATGGAGGAGAGAGAAAGGTATAACGTAAAGGTGAAAAACTTTAAATGGAAAGAAGTTACATACTCTGTCAACGGTCAGGTTTAACAAAACATAGGAGGAAGATTAATGACACGCTTATAAATATTCCTCCCTCCCTTTTTTTTTATTTGCATCACTTGGTAATGTGGGAAGTTTTAAGATATTAATATAGCATTATGAAAAAGAGAGAATGTGAGAGAGAGTAAATATTATAGTAAAAGTTAGGTGAGACCATAAAAGAGAAAGAATGTGAGGGAGAGTAAATATTTTTATTATATAAGTGAGGATCACGAAGGAGAGAGAAATGATAAAAAATAATTTAAGTGGGGTTTAAAGTAAGAGAGAGAAATGCTAAAATATAGTATAAAATTACCAAATGTGAAAGTGATGCATTTAAAAAAAACACCCATAAAAGGAAAGTGATACATTTAAAAAAAACGGAGGGAATATAATGTTAACGGTCAGATCTTAGATCAACGATCAGCATTCTTTTTCATTTATTACTCCATATATCGTTTTTATTTGCGACAAATGAAATTTTTATGTCTTACTCCCTCCGTTTTTTTAAGTGTTCCATACCCGACACATAATTGTAGGTAAAAAAAATAAAATAGTACTTGCATATAAGTGAGTATGATTAGAAATAAAATATTTTAAAAAGTAAGAGAGAGAAATATGAATGTGGACAACTAGGAATAATGTGAGAGAGAGAAAATATTATAAAATAATAGCGGGATTAAAAGGAAGAGAGAGAAATACAGAGTAATATATAATATGAGTGGGGTTTTTCACTTTTGGTAATGGGACACTTAAAAAAATGGTCGTTTATGGGAAGTGGGGCACTTAAAAAAAACGGAGTGAATACATAAAATAACCCTTTATCGCAAAGAAAAAGAAACAGAGGTAGTAAGTTTATTCTCATGGCTTCTTTTAAAAAAAAAGTTTATTCTCATGGCTAACCTTTGGAGGAACGATTTCCCACAATATTATTACAACAAAAATAAATTCCCATTACACATTGGTTTTAAAACAAATTCCCTAAATACTGTCCACATATGATCGGTGTTGGCCTTTAATTTTTTTCTTTTTGTTCAGCTTAAAACTGTTAATGGTAATAGCGGTTGTAGTTTAAAAATCGCTATTACCATTAGCAATTTTAGAAAAGAGATCGCCTCTAACTAATAACAAGTCTCTTTGCGTCCTTGGTTAATTCACATGTCTTAGTCTAAAGCAAGAAAAGAGAGTGCGGGTAATTACACTGACAAGCTCAAAGAGACTGCAGTTCAATAAAAACAGGTCTCTTTGACTTTATTTAAAAAAATTGCAAAACCACTAATATTGTTAGCAGTTTTAAGCTGAACCGATCCTACATGGACGGTACTTTGGGAATTTATTTTTAAAATGAACCATAATGGGAATTTATTTTTATTTCAACAATATTGAGAGAAATCGTTCATCTTTGGAGTTTGAAATCAGATTGAAAACTACGGAGTATAATGTAGTATACAACTCACATAAATTAGCCTTTATTGCAAATAAAACGAAATAGAGGTAATAAGTTTATTCTCATGGCTAATCTTTAGAGTTTGGAATCAAGATTGAAATTACGGAGTAATGTAGTATTCTAGTACATAAGTCTATATAGGAAATTTGGAATCCAAAATTAAATTAATTAATGTACCCGTAGTATACAGTATACTCCTTGTAGACTTGTAGAATACACACGGTAATCTAATTTATTAGTCGATTTAAGCAATTTGAAATCAAGAATGAAATCAGTGTAGTATCTTTAACCATTAATATTTTTTCATCTATATATGACTCGATCATACAAATTGGTTCTTGTGAAGCGATTTTCTAAGTGTTAGTGCGCGCCCAATCAAGAGGCATTGCTTAGTGTCATCGGGCGGAGTCGTGGAGCCCTTGACCAACCTACTTAGGTTGATTATTATGCTTCTTTTTGGCTACTCTAGAAATAGGGTTTGGTTTATTTGATGTAATCACACTTTTATATATTATTTCGTAGTTCCATACACTAGTTTACTTTTTAGCACTTTTACTTAGCAGATTTCTCTCAAGCATTCGATTAGCACTTTGGATTTAAGTTTACATCAATAAAAATTTTAGAGGCAGTATTTATTATTTTGTGTTCATCGTTCTTCTTCATTATTTTTCAAGTTTAGTCATTATTATTAGTTATCATGATTTCCTTAGTTTTTATTGTTCTGTTTGTTTTAATTATGTGTGAATAATTACATACCAGGGTTATGGGGATTTGTAACTGTTTGGATGGTATTAAAATCTTGTTAAATTGAATTTGAATTGGTTTATGCTATCATCCTATTATTTGCTATTATTGATTGATTAATTGACCAAAGGCCACGTTTGATCAATTATGCTTGTGAACACCTAGTTAAGCGTCAAGCTAAGAGGTAGAAACATCATGTTAAAATTGCAATAATAGGTGATCAAATCTAATAAATTGCAAGATTCTGCTAGAGGGAGAACTCATTGACCTAGATAGTATACGACCAAATTCATGTTTATATGATACTTAAGTTTAGTTCCTTATATTTGTTCACCGTGAACCTATGTCCCATGATTTTGTAGTTTGTTCAACTCTTAAACCAATGCTTACCCATTCTCTGATTTGCGAATTCGACCCAACTTCCTTATTTGTATTTAGCTAGTGGACTTTAGCTAGGTTATCTTTGATTAGGTGATACAATTGTAACCTATCATTATCTGTCAATAACTTAATTAAGTCATTATAAAGACTCCTCGTCATCTTTTTTTTGTTTTCCCCATTAAAGTGAACGAAGAAAAGCTCTCGACAACTCCATCCATATGGACTAGCAGTGGTGGATCTATCTAGGGGGTACATAGAGGTTATTTAAAAATCTGATTTCTTAAAATTATCCATATAATCATCATACTTTTTCCTACGTTTAATCAATTATCTTTACAATCAAAGAGACTTGTTGTCACACAGAATTGGTCTTTTAGATAATTTTTTTCACACAAATATTCAATTACTCATTTTATAAACCTCGTTGCCGGTGGACGGGTATTTACGTCGTACATGTAATGATCAGACTAATACAATAGTGAATTGAATTAATAACTTAAATTTTAGTTGGCCAAAAAAAAATAATTTTTCACATATTACTTTTTATTTTTTATGAAACTTAATTTCGTACCCCTAAATAATTTCTGAACCTGTCATTGTAGACTAAATTCTCATTAACGGAATCACGTAAATCCTTTTCTCTTTTATTTCTTTTGTATTTATATTACTAACTCATCTTACGTTCATCCATATGCATTAGCGCATCTATAAACTAGTGTGATGATTATCATCTTCGGTCGGATAGAAAAAGTTATTTTCGGAATGAAAAAAAAAAAAATCGACACTCAAGACCATGCAAAAGAGCCACCACACGTCCTTATCCGCCACGTTCTCTACATGCACCTTGCAATTAATTAGCTTATACCACGTTATATGAATTTCTCCTCTACATATATACATACACCAAACTCATAGTTTGATCTACTACAACTTAAATTCAATAATTTTTTGAGTAAAACAAAATTTAAGAGGGAAAAAATGCCAGGGATAACAATAGGAGATGCGGTGCCAAATCTTGAAGTGGAGACTACCACTGGCAAATTCAAGCTTCATGACTATTTTGCTGATAGCTGGACCATTCTCTTCTCTCATCCAGGTTTTATTTCTTTGTTTTTTTGCTGAGTTGAATTTGTTACTACTAGTAGTTGTGGACTTGATCAAAAGTAGGATGCATGGGGCCGGGCAAGACGAGCACCCTAGCCCGGCCATCTAGCTCTATGCCAGGTATACTCGAGAGTATAATAGATCATGATGGTATCACTATCAGATAATTTAGTTGAATTAAAGAAGTGCGTGCATAGATTAGTGATCACATAATAAATTAAATTAATTAAGAAACTTTATTATGACTTGAAAGAGAGGATCATGGTTAGTGATTACAGAAGATAAAACCTTGGGTTACGTAGCCAACCCTATCTTTGGGATATGATTAAGGCCTTGATTGTTGTTGTTGCTCTTGTGTTTTTCAATTTGAGTCATTGTTATTTCTAAATAAACTAATTATGTATGTATTTATACTTGTGTATTTAAACTAGGTGACTTTACACCGGTTTGTACCACGGAACTAGGAATGATGGCAGCTTATGCTGATAAGTTCTCAAAGAGAGGGGCCAAGCTTTTGGGCTTATCTTGTGATGATATTGCCTCTCACAAAGAGTGGATCAAGGACGTTGAAGCCTATTCTGTATGATTTTTTTTATTCTCGTATCGTCTACACGTGTTTTTCGTCTAAATTTAGTTGTCACGTTCAGTTTAAACTACACTATTAACTTATTTTTAAATTTAATTAAATTTAGAGGGAGGGAATACGTTTTTCCATTGATTATTTATCAATAAAAATGTTTTGTGATTAATTAGGGAGGACATAAGGTGACGTACCCAATAATAGCAGATCCAAAGAGGGAGATAATAAAGCAGCTGAATATGGTGGATCCTGATGAGAAAAGCTCCAATGGACAGCAACTTCCTTCTCGTGCTTTACACATTGTTGGTCCTGATAAGTTGGTAATTTTTTTTATTTTTACTTCTTAGATACGGAGTAATATGGATGACTGGAAATGTGCCTTTGAATTTACATTATTATAAGCTATACAACATGTAACAGTTATTGAGAATGACAGACGAATCCAGGATTTTAAACTAGGGGTGTCAAGAGACCACAGACATCATAAAAGTACTCATGAATGACGCTAAACTGTACTCGTACCATTTTTTAAGTAGCTAGGCATCTTAAGGCATGGTAACAATATATGCTCTGTACAAGTATTTTATTTCTGTATAGTTCAGCTTAGGGGAATAGAAAAAAGCTAATTAAGCATTGCGTCAATGAACTAAAAAAAAAAAGGAGATTGGTGTTACAAATCTTACGATAAGTAACGATAAGCAAGTATAAACTTGAAAGTAAGTATATGTCAACTAGCTTAGTTGCTTGAAAACCTAATAACTAGTACCTACTATGTGAAATGTTTTTTAGTCGTACTATGTTTAGTCCCCTTTATCCTATACTTCATATGTAACAATTGAATTTATTTGTATTCAAAATGAGTGTAGGTGAAGCTAAGTTTCCTATACCCAGCAACAACAGGGAGGAACATGGACGAGGTGGTGAGGGTGTTGGACTCGTTGCAGAAGGCAACGGAGCACAAGGTTGCCACCCCTGTTAACTGGAAACCCGGCGAGAAGGTCGTGATCTCTGCAAGTGTCAACAATGATCAAGCCAAGGAGATGTTTCCTCAAGGGTTTGAGACCACTGATCTTCCTTCCAAGAAGGGCTACCTTCGCTTCACTAAAGTCTAGCCGTACAACTTTGGCAAGAATATATAAGCCACAAAATATAAGCCACAACATCCTAGCATATATGCATGGAAGTATGATGAATTTCGGTCTATATGAATAATGTGTTCGTTGTAAGTTACTTTTGACGAGCATGGTATGGTGCTATATATATGAAGTTTTTTATGTTTTTATAGACGGTAAAAAAATGTATGTTAATGTCAACCAAATTACGAAGGATCGATCGTTGTAAGTTGTTGTATGGTATGTACTTAAGAGGCCAAAGTTGTCCTCCTTACCTTTTGTGCTATATATAATTAATTGTATACGACTATACAAATACTACTTTGTTAATTTGCTATGCTTTTTTCTTTGGAATTATATCTGATTAGCACGTATAACAAAATTATCAATTTTGATAGTATAAACTTAAATTATTGGCTGTAAAATTTCAAAATCATAGTTAAAGTTGATTAATTTTGCACTACGAGTAAAAAACAAGCTTAAGCACGCATTTTCAAATCATTAGAACATTTAAGGTTTGGGTGTGAATGGAACACATTAATTGCCAAAAAAAAAAAAGTCAAAAAGGGGGGAGAAATTGCGGAGTTGCGTCCCTACCTTTACGAAGATAGCGTTGTCTTTTTATCTTCTGTTTATTGCAGGGTTTAGATTGAAAATAGGCCACCTTCTTGGCTTCTAGTGTGGCAAGATAATTTCCAGCTTGTATTTGGTTATATCACTTATATGTTCAGATGCAAATTCAGTTTGAGTATGGTTCAATGGTTGATTGGGTATGCATTTGCTTGCAAGATATGGGTCATTCCTAAAAGTGATAGTTTGGTTGCACTTAAAAAGTTATTTCGTAATTTTTTTTTTATAAGTCCAATTTCTATGTGTTTTCTTGATAATGATATTGTTTTGTTGAGCATTAGAAGTTGCAATTCTTATGGCAAATTGACTCATCTATAGAGGCAACTTCTCTATTTCATTTTATAGGAAATAAATCTTCCTTATAAATTCCACTTATATGCTTATGTCAACCAAATAACCTCTCTAACTAGATTTTACTTCTTAGAAAATTAGACTTCATATGTTGTCAATAATCCATCAACTCCTAAAACATTATGAGAATATCATCGCCACTGAATGTAAATGATGTGATAAGTGTTGTTTGTTTGAATGTAAATTGTTATTTTTTTAGAAATATAAATAAAGTTGTAAAGAGTATTTTAAAACTAATAAAAGATTGAAGTGTATATATTATACTTCCTCCGTTTCACTAATATTGTAACAATTATTATTTTTGAAAGTTTCATAAATATTGCAACATTATCATATATGTACATGCTTTCTCTCTATCTCTCTCCTCATCACATGGGTCTCTTATTTTTATCTATCTCTATCCCTCTCCTAATCTTAAATTTCATGCCTTATCCTTTTGTTGCAATATTAGGGGAATGGAAGAAGTATTCTAAATTGGAAGAGAAAAAAAAAATATTACTTGTACTTTTTACAATATCAATTGATTCCCCCCATGGCCATGGCCCATTCACCAAAGTGGGTTTAGGACGAAAAGAATACTCCATCAAAGAAACTTTCACAAAGCTCAACGCAACACATATTCATATTATTGCCCGCTGTACTCCAATACCACGACAACCTATACACAAATTCAACACTAATCTATGTATTTTTCACCTTTTCACCTCTCTTTTACTGCTCTAGCTTAATCATACTAATCCCCTTGTATAGGGTATATATTCGTATGTAATTTGTTACATTTTAGTCGTTCACACTTGTTAATGTAATAATCTATTAATATGCTTAAATTATAATGTACGTGTAAAATTGAAAAAAATTAATTGTATTTGAAAAATCTAAAACGAGACAGGTAACAAAATCTTACATAACGTATAAATTGTGAAAAATAGTTTAATTAAATGTTTATAAGCAGTGCCAAATTCCAAATGCAATCATTATTATATCAAAACCAGGTTTGTACATGGTAAGAGCAACTAAGTATACCAGCAATAAATATTATATTTCTACATTTGAAATAGTGAAATATCCTTCAAAATTCAAAATCTGGTACTAAAAACAAACCTTTTTGAGTGGTGATACAATTTTTCACACTTTTTAACATTACACTCCCAAACAAGCAATGCATCATCCTCTCCACCCTACATCTTCCCTTTTCCTCCTCCTCTTCCTCCACCTCCTGACCCCATCATCCTCGGAATGCCGGTCGCAATGCGGCACGATCCCGATACACTACCCCTTGAGCATCGACGACGGGTGCGGTGCGCCACAGTTCCGCAACATGTTCACATGCAACACCTCGTCCACTTCCCTCTTCTTCGTCACACCAAATGGCAACTACAAAGTTGAGTCCGTAGACTACAAGTCACAAACTCTTACGGTTTACGACCCGGATATGTCTACATGTACCGTACTACAACCTCATCATGACGTCCGTCTTACTGATATTCAGTATGCTATTATCCCTCCTTCACCCGATACCGTGTTTGCTTTACTGAACTGCTCCATTGATTCTCCAATTCTTCATCGGTTTAGCTCTCTTTGTTTCGAGTTTGCTGGTCATAAGTGTCAGGAGTTGTACTCTTCTTGTAATTCGTTTCGTATTTTTACTACTGCTGGGTTGGTTAACCCTGGTGCAAGTAATAATACCGGTCCTGCAGGGTACTTTTATGGTGGTGCTGGGAATAATAATAATAATACTGGCTTTGGTGGCAGTGGCGGCGGCTACGGTGGTGGTGGTGGTAATATGGGACCAGGAGCGGGAGTGGGTGTGGGAACTGGGGTTGGGGCGGGGCCGGGGGTGGGGAAAACTGAGATGGAGGGAGAACCAGGGGCACCGGTTGGGGAAGGTGGGATGGGGGCGGGACCGGAAGTAGGGACGGGAGCAACAATAATTGGAGGAGGCGGGATGGGAGCCGGACCGGGGGCACCCATTGGGGGAGCTGGGATGGGGGCGGGACCGGGGACACCAATAGGGGGAGGTGGGATGGGGACGGGGACAGGGGCGGGAGCACCAATTGGGGGAGGAGGGATGGGGGTAGGGACAGGGACGGGGGCACCAGCGGGGGGAAATGGGGTGCCCCCGCCCCCATGTTGTTTTACAGGGTATAGTACCCTAAAGGTGATGAGTATGGATATACTAGACTGTACGCATTTTACAAGTTTTTATGACGTGGATAAATTAAAGGGAGCGTCGCCTATGGATTGGTCATATGGGTTGAAATTTAGTTACAGTGTGCCGGATATGGGGTGTGAAAGGTGTACAAAATCTGGAGGGAACTGTGGGTTTGATGTTGAAACTGAAGCCTTGCTCTGCCTTTGCCCTGATTCTAACAACTCTACTAGACAATGTGGTATGTTTATATTATTGCTTATTCTTCTGTCCTAATTTATCTCATTACTACTAGTATATTGTTTTCTTGGCCTTTCCACAATCAATCTTTTAATTTTTGACTAATCGCAATTGAAATTGTGAATTTAAATACAATGGTTGCTACTTGCTACTGTTGCTAGTGAACTTTGTCCTACACAGATAGCGTGCCGGATTTTGATGATTAGTGACCTCACTTTAAGAGAGAAAGGGGTTGCCAATAAATTGTCTTGTTCAGAACTTCAGATCTGGATGTTTGTGCTTTTACCAATTCCTCATTCACTTGTCCTAACCCTAAATTGAATTAAACTTATTAAAATTACGAAATATAGACTCAATCTATGTAACACCTCTATTTTGCATTCAGATATACCTAAAGATAAGTGTATTTTAAGGACAAATATTTTGCTAATCTAGAAATTTCAAATAAGCAAATAAGCAAAAAGTTACTTTTGAATATGTCTAACTTTAATTTAGCTATACTCGAGTATATCTAAGATTTTTTTTATAATCCATGAGCCTTTATCTAATATTTGTAAATTCTGCCTTCTAAAAAAACAAAATGTACATGTTCCCTCTTACATTTTGATGTCAAACTTTTGAGAATCTACTACTTTATTGCAGTGGTGATTTATAGTATATGTGAAACCAACCTATTAGCTATATTCATTAATCAAAACATATTTTTCTTAACCAAAACCTTGGTTTATTTTGGAAATTAGAAAACCTCAAAAATGGACAATTTCTTGGCGAAATGATTATCTAAGTATATTATTGTGCTAAATAAGAGATATGTTAAGGTTAGATTTCTGTATAAACATAACTCACTGATATAAAACAGTAAATATTAGGCAATACTTGATCCAGTACGAGTAAAGTATTAAGAATTTTACTATCTTACGTCCTTGAGGTTGTAAGATCAATTCCACTAGGCCTTTGCCTACCAACAAGGGTCAAGAAAGATAAGTTAATTTCAGGAAAATTCATACTCTAATTCAATTCGCAACTAAAATAGTTAAAGGAAAATCCGATGAAGGGAATATTAATGAAACAATGAAATATAGAAAGGGTCTAGATACATTGTGATTATTTGTTAATTAATTGATTTAAATTCGGATGGCGGGAATATTAAAAAGTAATGACATATTGAAAGGGTTGCCAGCGGGTTGTGGTAAACATAATGAAGAGGCCAACATCTAATGCACTTACTAATGCAATTTCACTAATATAATCAAAATAAAAGTGCTAGGTAACATGCACATTTATTCTTAATATGAGTAATAATTTTGCTTTCTTGTTGGCTGGCCGGTGCAGGTAACGATACGGGTGCTGCTGGTAGTAGTTGGGCGCCATCAATCATACTTCAGGCGATAATTATGTGCTTGGGAGTCCTACTCCTCTGCTGATGCCCTGTATCAAATACGGAGTATGCAACAACTCATTATGCACCTATGCTGTTCACGGTAACAGTTTGGATCACTAGGTGGGATTCGGATTGGGTCGAGTTGGGTTCAAGCTGTGCCCGTGCAAAGCAAATTCTTGATCGCGTCACTTTTGGGCAAGGTTAGGTATAAGTTGGGTTGATTCAGTTTTGACAACTCTTTGTAAATGCTGGGCATAAGAAAGTTCCTATGTAACGTAAGCAATTTTGTTCTTAGTAAAATATAACTACTGTGTACTTCTCTAAACATAAATTTGTTAGTATTTCGGGGTGTTTCAAGACAGTCATTGCTTCTTTTATAGTTAGGAAAGAAACTAAGCTAGATTTGTCACCAATGTAAACCAGACTAATTCATAATTTCGGATGATAGTAGTATGTAACTTTTACATTTTTCTTGAATTGAGTACTAATTCATGCTTTAGTAATTGTTACATTTTTCTTGAAACGAGTTCTAATACATGTTTACTTAAAACGAAATGAAGGGAAGAATCTAAGAACGTTTAGGGTAATGTTAAATACTGTATTTGATATTACTACTAGTCACTAAATACTCCACAATTCATTGCGACTTGATGACCTTGATGGCCAAAAGTCACAAATTTTGAGTACATTTTTTTCGATTTGTATTGAATCTGTTTTATTTGCAGATCAGTGTATAATAACACCTTTCTCATGATCTAAATTATAATGGATGAAATATAAAATTAGTATATTATGTACAATTTTATCATGCATCTAATTTAACACTACTTGATGTCCATAGTTTACATGTCATAATTGTCGCCTTAGTAGATGAATGGTAAGGTCTCAGACATGATATCCACGGGCCATCTCTCTGCCTCTTGGTCGAATGGCTGTGCTTGTGATGCTGCAGTTTGCTGGACTTCTGAATCAGGTGATAATGCTGGCTCAGCCAGTGGCACGTTTCGTCTATTGATTCCGTCAATCAGCACCAGCATTCTTCTGTACTGTCTTACTGTTGTTCCTTCTTCATCACTAGGCTTATCTGAAAAAAAATTCTCAGACAATTTAGCACATCATATAAACGTTAAAACATACCAACAAGACATATTAGCAAAATGGAGTTTTTGGTTTAGTTTTGGGCTCAAAACGTGCATATATTAATAGCAACAACCAAACAATAGAGTTATGCGCATCCATTGTTAGCAATATAGAGTTTTGGGCTCAAAACACGCATATTTTTCACAGCGGCAACCTATGTATAGAGTTTTGGGCTCAAAACATGCATTGTTAGCAATATAAAGAGTATGCATAGCTCTATAAATTAGACTATGCATACTCTTTATATGTGTGTACTATAACTTAATTCAACTGAACCACATACATACTAACAAATTTTAAAGGCCAGGGTTACTCCTTACCTTCTATTGATGGCGCGGTAGCCTGATTCTGAGCTTGAGCTTGAGCCTGAGCCTGAGCCGGAGCTTGAGCTTGAGCCTGAGCCTGAGCCTGAGCTTGAGCTTGAGCCTGAGCCTGAGCCTGGGCCTCGTCAGCAGCAACAAAGGACCATTGAACTAGAGTAGGGGTGACAATGGTGATGAAAGCCCAAACCAAGAATATGAGTACATATGCACCCTTCTTCATTTTGTTAGAAACAAGAGGAAAATTGTATGATTTTAGTTGAGAAACCTACGCAAAGGTTTGTAAGTAATAAGGGAAGTATAATTAGTTGGTAAAAAGAGAGAAGAAAAGAAGGTATCCTTAATGAATTAGCTGGCCATGTCTAAGGAGTATGTTGGTTAGAAAAATCAAGACTCCCTTGCATGATAAGGCAATAATTTTCATTTGTCATCACTAAAGTATTTTCATTTAACAATTAATGTAGCAATCAATTATGTGGTCGTAGCAGCATAGCTCATACTCCGTAGGACTTTAATTATATACTGCTAGAAAGGAATCAAGTAAAGGTTTCATGATAGAGCTCTCACCTTCCAACCGTAAGTTCAGGTTCAATTTCACCGGCACAAATTTATAGTCGATGAATTATTTCCTTATGGAAAATCTCATAAATATGTGTCGGTCTATTTGAGTTAAGTTTCCCTGAATCCTGTTGGCAATTGTGAGTTGAGAGTTTGAGATTTCCTACCTTTCAAAATAAAGGTTAGTATAAAGAACCCTCCATCCCCAAAATACCCTTTTACTCTTTTTTTAAGTTATCAATATTATTCTTTACATTCTTATTTATTTTGACTATATTATTAGTCTTCTGTGTAAGTAAGGTTTCGCTCTCTAATCTACTTTTTGTGTCACATTCACTTCAATTAAAAAACAATCTCTTAACTCTCATCACATCCACTAAAACAACAATTAACAATCAAATACTCCGATTCGTATTAACTTATTTTCTAAAACTATGCGACATGATAAGTATCAAAAATAGTAATTATACTATACTCTACGAGACGAAAAGAGATAGACTCTAATCACTTTACATAGAAGCATAGGACCATACATAGGACCATATGATACCCAACGTCCCAACGATTACATAAATGTGATATTTTAAAGGTTGGAGTTGGTGTGACATTTTTAGTGGGGATTGTCCGACCTTTTTTCTTGTATTACATACACATCATTATCGTTACAGCCAAGATTCATCAATATAATGTTCCATCATTCATGATTACGTGATTATTATTGGTAATTTGGTATTACGCTATTACTCTATAAGATTAGGATAAAGTGAAAACTTAACGACAATATTGTTTATAATTAACACAAATATTAATTGGATTCAATATACAAGCATATGTTTTTACTTCACATCATCTATTTATTTTTTAATTTGCATTATGCTCCTATATTAATAAAATAAGAAAAGTTCTTGTGCCAACCTTATTTTAGCTACTTTGGTTAAGATTCTTGCGATGCCTTAATTAATAAAGCTGTTGACTTTTGTTTTTAACATGATTGTTGTATGGTGTTAGAATTTATAAATAAACGATTGTACAGGAGAAATTTTAATTTACACGGTCTAAGATTACTCAATCTCTTTATTTTTTTTTTATGTTTGTTCTAATTACAACATACTATTTGAAAAGAGATATTAATCATACGTATATATCAATTTATATATAGAAAAACATTTATATGAAATCATGTTAGATTCCTCGATGTGTAGTTTCAAATGACTAATCTTTTAACAATTGAAAATATTGTTCCCAACCAATATTATGCATAGAAAATTATGAACACTCAAATGGGTTATATATTATGGAATATAGAGTGTCTATAACAAATTCAGAATCCCCCTAAACTAGGTTTTTTTCTTTTCCTTCATCGAAAGCCTCCCTCTGTAATAAATCCACGATATCACAAAAAATCATCGAGAATGAGCAAACTACCTACTCCAAATATCGAATTTTCACTACACTACTCCAGAAGGTGAGAAATCACACTCCGAGACGACCAAATATAAGGGTACAAGTGAGGAAGAAGGAATAGACCTGCAATACAAAATCTGCCAAGCCTTTATAAATATGATAATACAATATAACATGAGTCAATAATTCATACAAGTATTCAGCTTCACTCTCATCTAAGTCTGTGGAGGTCCTCTCTTCTCTATATACGAATTCAATATATGCATATGAAATTCGACATATAAATCATCAGAAAAGATACCAAAATCAGCTGCAAATCTCTAACAACATAGATAATCTCAGCTGTTTCTAGCTCTATTTCTTGCAACACATCAGTCAGGCAGATAGTACATAACAGGTAGAACTGTATGCTGCCGTACAGTACTAGATTATAGCTGAAGCGCTCCAGACTGAGCACAAAGATTGTATCACCCATTTACTGACTCGTCTAATTGCCCATGTTCCAAAGAATCATCCTATTACAGAAATTTATTAGAAATCAGAAGATGTAAAAAATGGATTTCATTAGAAAATCTGTGAGGCAGCACCAAGAACTCACTTTAATACACCCATCTACTGACTCGTCAAATTGTCCATGTTCCAAAGAATCATTCTATTAGAGAAAATAGTTATAAATCAGAAGATGTAAAAAATGGATTATCATTAGAAAATCTGTGAGGCAGCGCTAAGAACTCACTTTAATACAAACATATACGTAATGAACATCTGGGCTGGCCCCAATGAAATCTTCCAAGTTTTTCCCCTTCTGATTTAGGGGAATAGGTTTTGTAAGCTCCCATATCTGTTTTTCCTCTTTCACTCCAGGAATTGTTTTTTCTGCATATGCATGTTGGACAAGTGATGTAAAATAGCGAAAACAATAAACTTCCCAGGTAATGGAAGCGAACAGTAAATACCACTTTCTTACAACAGAATGTTCAAGGCAAAAGTATATTCATTATTCAACTACAAAACACGCTCCAAATCTTTTATCTCTATGACTATGGACCAGCAGAAAACAAGCAGAAGCAGGGCAAATCCTTTCTCTGCTGAAACTCGGTTCTTAAGATTACAGATATTCTTAAACAGCTAAAACAGCAAAGTCATTATGAACAAACAATACGTAAATGCACTGGATTGTTCAGTGAATCTTCACATCACCAAACGCCTACGGAATTTTAACTTTTACAGATATCCCTCATGATAAGTCCTCTATTGAATTAATCTTATTAATTGTGCTTATTTCAAGAGGCAATGATAAAAAATCCTTATGCATTGATGCAGACCATTGGAAAAGATAAGAGGGGTGAAGAAGCCATTTTTTGGTCTTCACTCATAACAATGTCTTATGTCTGTCGCGACTCATAATAGTATTTTGGTACATGTATTAGCATTAGTATGGTGTGTTATGCCCCAGCACACGGTCTATAGTAGCTTTGATCACAAGTATTTTCTTATAGATACACTATTTTATTGTATCAAAACACACTGCAAGGCAATGTGCAGTTACAAATGTTTTCGCGAGTCATAGCCATCTTCTAGCTTAGCTAGTAACTGGCTGCATGAGCACCAAAGCCACCAAAAGTCCTTCAAGTAATTTCTTGACATTTTGGCTAGCTTCATATTTAGACACAAATTTCGGTACTTTGGATTGTTTTAGAAATTTTGGGAACATGTCCTAGTGGAAGATAATTATTACATTTCCTTAGAGAACACAAATTTTCCGTATTGCCTAAGGAATAAGAATATTCTATTTTAAGGCTGATTAAAGATCCTTTAACATGAAGGATTGCATTTTCAAAATTTCAGATTAGCAGCTAGTTCTAGAAGCTAGATCCCCCCGCCCCTCCCTCCCCACCCCCCCCCACCCAACCACCCACCCCTCGGCTTAGTGTTGTGATTTCAATGTCTTCAGTTAGTTGATATTTTCAACTTGACTTGAACTGGTGAGTGTAAAACCTTTAAAACCTTTACAATATGAGTTGAAGCTAAAGTCATTATTCCTTAGCTAGCGATTATTCTGTAAAGCATAGCCTTTCCAAATTCCAATTAACACGTGTGTCTCATATTGATAAAAGAAGATAGTTGATCAATTTATAAGGCTAAGGACTACTATTGTCATATGGTTTTGGAATGGAATCTTCTTTGGACTTATGAAGTGGATTCTCTCTATGGTGACAGGTGTGGCCTAGGCCCGTATTTAAGATGGTATCGGAGTCCGGCTCACCTTTGAATTTCTATGCACTTCTTGGTAATATTGTCTTCTGATGCCTAGATACCGGAAGACCGGTTTTCCGGAAAAAGTAAAAACGATAAGACTTATGATACCGAATCCAGGCAGAATGAGAATATAGACCTCCGGATGACCGAAAAATTGTTAGATCTTGTAACATACTCCTATGCCATAAGACTAACTTTTCTTATCAATAATATATGCAACTTCATATAATGCACTATTATTCTTCAATACATAACAAAATACCAATACTAGTCAGTTTTAAAAACCGATGCTTAACTTACTCCTAAGTCCTAAGCAAGACCATCAAGTTAATATCTTCTAGTATTATTCATTCAAGTACACAATTTACCAAGGTTTTGGCAGGTGAACACAATGGTAACTTCATGTGTCTATAAATATCAAGCATAGATGTAACATACCACATTTAATACAGCAAGGCTACAAAAATAAATAGAAGATGCTTAAAAAAAGTTAGACCAAAGTCTCATTTGAAGCAAATCTTACTAATAGATTCCAAAGATAGATGAGCACATAACATAATTACACAAAAAAAAATCCAATAAGTACGCAAATTAATATATAATGACCAATAACTGCAAATTTGCAACATAAGAAAGATAAAATTTAGAACATTCTGATAAAGATTCTGCCAACCTATCACATGGAGCTTTATCTTCCACTTGCATGAATTCTTCAGATAACATAAGCGGTATGAGGGTGCTCCATATGTAACCTACAACAGTCAAGAGATTGGTTAGGAGCCTAATAATAAGTATTGAGATAGTAATGCTGTATCAGTGAGAATGTTGACAAATGACAACAAGACAAGTTTCAACTATAGGTACATCTATAGGATACCGAAAGCAAGGGCTAGTTTGAAAGCCTATATGTGTATTTCCAACAAAAAAAATTCCAACATTTTAATAAAGAAAACTTTTAATGCAAAAGATATAAATCTAACTACAAACAAGAAACGAAAATTTAATACTCAAATAGCATTCAAATTTTTGGTTGAAGGGAAAGGAGAAAGTAAAGAAAGACAAGATTACCAGTATATAAACCCCTTTATCCTTGAGAACCCTACAGTTTATCAAATAACTGCTTCAATATATGATCAATGTATCCAAAACAAAAACAAACAGAGAGCAACAACAATAGTTCTTTACAGCTTTGATATTACACGTACCGCCCAACTTCCTCAAGCATTTTAGCGGAGTTTGGTTTTGAGTTGTTTCCACACTGTTGAAAGAAAAGCTGTAAGAAACTGGCCCATGATGAAAAAATACTTCTCAAACTACACTTACCAGAATAGTATCAAGTGTTCCTGGAAAGTATCAATAAGCCACATCAGAAGAAAGAAGAGACAAGAATTTCAGAGTAATTTTTTTAATTTTTTTTGACAACTGTGATACTTTTAAGAAAGTAAAACAAATACCTTTGTCAATTACTGCATCAAAAGAGCCTGTTTCGAGGGTGTCCATTTTTAGAACATCCATAGTAATGTCTGCCATTGTTAAGTGATAACTAAGTAAAATTCCTGAATTTATCTCACATATATCTTACCACACTTTCCTAAACTATCAATGATTATTAATTTTACGAACTAAACAGAAATAAATAGATCATATCAAGGATACACTTAAGTTGTGGGTGGTCAGAGTATTTTTTCTGCATCTCTTCAATCACGACAGAAGATATATCAATGTTGACAATATCCTCATATCCATCAGCTGCCATTTTTTCACTAAATGCTGCAACCACATAGAGATAAATTTAAGTATATATATATATATATATCATAACAGGCAAGTTCAGAGGCAATTTCATGAAAGAAGTATTCAAAATACAGAAACACGGGACAAAATGTGATCCACATAAACTATTGAGAGAGTACATACTTTAAGCTTTCCAATTCCAAATATTTTCAAAATATATATCTCTAAAATGGAAAAGACTTTATTGACAAAGGAAAAGTGGAGGAGAAGTCAAGTACAGTTGAATGTCTCCAATAATGGAGATTTACCAACAAACACCCTCGTATAATTGGTTTTTGGATAATCAAGGAGATGAAACTTTCCTCAGTCACTCAAAGAGAGAAGGATGATGGCTGAAGATCAACTCGGCAAGTTCACCAGAATAATTTTGATCGCGTGATACAACACAACCAGTGAATCTGTGATAAAAGCCTCTAAAGAGGCTAAAGAGTGGGAGGAAAGGACCTTGAGTTAGAGGAGTCTTTCATAAGTTTCATGGAAGGTTTTCTCTCCCCAAAAAGTGTTGTTTGGAAAGCAATTTTTTAAAAAATCATCTTGCCTAGCCTAAAAAGAGGAGGAAAATCTAAGAAGAATAAGGGGGAGCTGATCATTGACCTAAGTAATTATATCAATTATGTCTTGGGTACTCGGTGAGAATTATTGGGTACTCTCGGCAGCAAACTCAAATTTAAGAGGTGTCATTTCCAGACCATTGTCATTTTCTAGTCATTTTATCATCATATCCACATGTTTGCCTCTCATTTCTATTAAATATAGAGCGTTAATTACCATCTATAACAGCTACCATGATGAACAGCCATGTAAGTGTTAACTTCAAAGAAACTCTAAGGATTAAGTCATTTGAAGAAAGCGTAGCTAACAATAGCTCTATCATGCTAGGATTATGGTACAATTGCTAACAAACACCATCGCGTTCAGCTTTAGCAACATCACGTTACTTCAGTTCACAATACCAGCAATACTATATACATCTTTTTCCTATATCCTCGTTAACATTGATTTCCCCTCTCCCCAAGAACGCCTTTTTTCTTTGGGGATAGGGAAGTCAATATTCAAGTGGAAGAATTTAGGGAAATTGAGGCTTCAGCATCCTCGGTAATCTAATAGCTACAAGTAACTGATGAGTTGATTATGCAAGTATGTTAAATCATCATAACATCAGTATTTTCTCAGGGATTAAGAGGTGAAAGAAAAAATACAAAGTAGAACATAAAAAAATCCTCAATAGTCCTGCACATTTGACCCTGATTTTATCTCCTCCAATCATGTCAAAATCCATACAAATTTCAGGACTACTCGTAATTTCATATATCTGTAGTAGTTCCTCTATGAAACACTGTGTACATTCCATCATTCAATACCACTCGCTTTACGTTGTCATTTCTTTAATCCAAAAATGCATGTGGAAAAGATTTGATGATTTGTTTGGAGAAAGCAGCACAAGTTGAACTAACTTTCTTCAAAGTAGGGGCCATTAGGCCTCTTGTTGGAACTCTTGACGAGGCCCAAACGAGGACTCTTTACCTTTCTAGAATGCAAGATTTGCATGTCAAGGGGGATGACTAACTTATAAGATAGTTGGGCTACTTTACCTATTACTAATAGGATTTAAAATGAAACCTCGCTAAGCTTATATCTGTTTAGTTTCTATTATGACACTGGTTTGACAATACTAAGGATTATTATGTTCTGTATTACATCTATCCAATATACTTCTTCCATCCGAATATACTTAACACATTACTAGATCAAACTACACTATCAACGTGATTATACAATAAGGAGCGAGGAATAGTTATAGACTTAAGCTCTCACAAACTTAGCATTGAGTTTTACAAGAGCAATCAGTTCATTACCATTCGGTTATAAAATGAAAGTATTCAGTCTAAATATGGAAAACCCAAAAAATCATTTACTCATTCCGTTCTTAAAAGTTCTTCCCATATTAACTATGCACGTTTGCCAATGTATTATTTAAGGCCATAATATCATTATTGAATACTAACCCCTCTATCCCCATTTGTTTGCCTCATTTACCATAAGAGAGAGTCCCTTAAAAATTGCCTCATACCATATATGTCCATAGGACCACACCTCTACTCTCACAAATTTAATTTAGGTCCCACCATTTTTTCTCTCTCATCAATTCTACCCAACTAAAATTTAAAAAAGCACAATATGAGTATGGGGCAAACAAGTTGCTCTACTGGACTAAAAGCCTAGTAAGCTCAACTCTCTCTCTCTGCCCTAACCCATTGCATTCCTAACACCTACAAGCTCGCCAGCGGCCAATTCCCCTCTTATGGTTGCCGACGAGCTTCCCTTAAAGCTGTCTCAATATTTGTGTATCTTCAAAGATCCGTGGGTTTTTTTTCCGTCGGTGTTGGCGTTTCGATTAATTTGTAAGTCCTTTTCAAAAGATTTGTTCTTGCTCTGAATCTGCATCTTCCTAGCTTCTTGGGATGTTACTTGTTTGCTAATTTGGTTTTAGCTTAGTAGTTTTTTTTTTTTTTTGGGTATAGCTGTCTAGGTATTTTTAAGGGATGGTGAAAAATTCAAGTTTAGGACCTATCTTGCTACATCACTTAGACCATTTGGGGGAGGATGACTTTGATGTTAGAGGAAATGCTTGAGAAAACCAGTAGTCGAGAGGAGGCTATCAAATGCTTGTGTGGATGAAGCATATGCCTTGTTCAAATTGAAAGAATTTAGTATTGCTTTTGTGATGTACAATAAGGGTATCAAATGCTTGTGTGTTATAATGTGTGCCATTAGTGATGATTCTCGTATGTGTGAGGTTAGCCTTAAGTTGAAAGAACTAGCGTTTAGCCTTCATTTGAATATTACGGTTAGTGCAATTAAGCTCAACAAATTTAGTGATGCCATTACTTCATGTTCTTTGATTTTGGAGTCTAATAAGAGAAATGTAAAGGCGTTGTTTAGAAGAGGAGTAGCATAGGAGAAGTTGGGAGCATTGGAGAAGGCATATGATGATTTTAAATCAGCAAAAGAGATTGAACTTAATAATAAGGAAATTGGGAAGGAAATGACCATTCTAAGGTAAGTTGTGTTTAGGAAACAGGATGATAATGAGGAAAAGATTGAGGAGAATATGCATCTTCAATATGGTGAAGATCAAATAAGCTCAGTTAATGAAAGAGGAATAGATTCTGGCACTAAACTTGAAGGGTCCAAGGTGGAGAAGAATGAGGTGGAGACTTTTATTGCTAAGCTGGAAGCTACCAATGAAGTGCTTAATGGCAGTCAGGACTCTTAAAAGAAGGATAGTGAAGTCCCCATGAAGGTGGATACTTTGAAAGGTTTGAATTGTTCGAGTTTTTGCCTCTCGTGAGGTTAAGGTGGCTTTTGTCAACCGAAAAAAAGCCATCTCCTAATTTGAGAATCGCCAGATTTACATAAATTGAGGTAGGGGAAAGAGTTGTGGCTCTATCAACCACATTCTATGTCTTTGTTGAAGGTGCGTAACTTCACCCCGAAATATCACATCATGATGGAGACCCCCCACGACCATAGTTCGAGGGAAGCAATGGTCTCTCACTCGATTCCATCTTCGAGTGTTATTAAGGATGATTACACCAATCAAAAACAGTCATCATTCGTGAATGAAATTGAAAGTGCCTTTGTTGATGTTGGAACAAATCATATCACCCGCCGCAAGAATCTAGCTATATCAAGGATGAGTAACAAGTGCAGGGTCCCAAAGAGAAGAACACCAGTCTGCCCATTCCTAGGAAAGACACCGTTCAACCTCTACTAGAGTTCAAGAGTAAGTCGTCGAGGAAAGGCTCTTTAGAAGCCATAGACAATATTTTCAGTCTTCAAAAGAGGAGAATCAGAGAAAGGATTCGGAAACGAAGCAAGAGTTTGCACCCTAACCATGCCTAGCCTATCATAAAATCCAATTTTCATGCAGGTATGAAGAGGAAAGGTGCTATATCAATGAATCTCTCCGGCCATCCAAACAAGAAGCTTAATTTCAGTTTATGTGTTTGTACTTTTAATTTTAATTATTGTAGTATTTGTATTTCGTGTAAGGCTACTCAAAATCTAGCAAGTATCGCTAGAGGGAGTAGTAAACTAATCATTGCGACGAATTAAGTATGACCCAACATGACTTTGTTATGTTTAATATAAAGAATCATTTAAAAATTCTCTTATCTTATGCATAGTGCCAAGATTTTCAATTGGAAAAACCAAATCGAAACGGTTAGAGTATCCAAAAATCTACATAATTAAGTGATCATCCAAAAAAAAAACAACAAAAATTGAAATGGGATACACCCAATTCAAACACTTTCAAAACAAAATTCAATAAACCCACCATCATCACAATTCTTATATCATACCAAACAACATTAACCCAACAAAATTCATCAAAATTACACAAAATAGATCAAATAACAACAACAATAACAATTATACAATTACTGAAATAAAAAATGAATGAATGAGATAAAACAACATACAAGAGTTACCGCAACCGACGACAAGAACACGGCGATGAGGAGGAGAAAGGTAAAGATGAAAAAGAGGAACTAAAGAAGAGTAATTTTGGTACCAATCAAAAGGGGTTTTATCTTGTTTGTATCTTTTATCCCAATATGATGGATCACCATATTTCTGTGTTTCTCCCACACCCATTGACATCTCTCTTTCTTCTCTTCTCTCTCTAAAATTCAGATGGATTTCTCTCTCTCTAAAATTCAAAGGAGGAAGAAGAAGCAAAGTTAGTTGAGTTGAGGTTGGCGACAAGACAGCCGACAAATGTTCAACTTAACATGTTTCACTGTTTTGTCCTTTCATCTATTCAGGGCTCTTGGCCACTTATCGTTTTTCAAGGGTTACTTGGTCATTTACTTGCATTACACTTCGTACGAGTATGTTTTTTGATTGAATTGTTTCGCTTTGAGTCTTTGGTGATATATTATATAGTCTTTCAATATGTAAAGTAGAAACATTCCCCCACATGGAAAGAATTAGATATGTTGGTTGTCTTTATTGACTTGTGTGTGCTATTTGTAGTTGATTTGCTTTTGGGCTTACTTGTTAGTTGATGAATAAGTAGTGTAAAAGTTAGATTTCTTTACAACAAGTGTGTTTTTCTTAACATTTGGATCATTGGATGGTCACGTTTACGTACCTCTATTTCGTAAAATTATTGTATGTTGGAGCTTGCACTTTAAAATTGAGGAGAATGAAGCTTTCTTTATATGGGGGTTACTCATTAAGACCTTTTGGAAAATATTGTGTATGTATACGAAATACTTTGTATTGAATAAGCAAAATCAAATGCAAATATTTGGGAAAGTGTTGTTACTGTAATAAACATGTATGAAGTGTATTTGGCCTACTGGTTGGAGACCCTCCTTCCAACCCAATGGGATCCCTAATTTCCCCCCTACTTGCAAGTAGAGGTGACAATTTAGATGATCGGGTCGGGTTAAATTTTAGTGAATCGCTAAACATCGCCCGCAAATTACCATATAAAGCCCACAAATATGACTTGGTGTGACCATTATGCCCATTTTCTAAAATTGAAATAATCTCGGTTTAAAAAATGTGGAGTCGTACTGGCTCGCCGGGGGAGACCGGAGGGCAGGCCGGAGATGTGGGGGACGCCGGAGGTACGTCGTCGTCGACGGAAGACGAGGTAAGTCACCGTTAAAATTCACGGTTTACCGTCGGAGTGGCTCTGGCGCCTAGGATGGACGCCCAAACCGTAGCCTGGACGTCCAAGCCAGACGCCAGAACCACCAGAGTGGCGTCCAGCCCAGACGCCCAGACCACCAGAGTGGCGTCCAGCCCAGACGCCCAGACCACCAGACTGGCGTCCTGGCCAGACGCCACTCTACTGGTTGAGGCGGCCCTGCCAGGCGCCAGTCCAGTGGTTGTGGCAGCCCTGGCAGACGCCACCCTTATAAATTAATTTTTTTTTTTCTTTTTTGATTTTGTTGTTGTTTTTTATTTATTTTTTTTTTAAAAAAAAATCGAAAATGATTTTTTAAAAAAATTCGAAATGGGTTTTTTTAAAATTAATTTTGAAAATTCGAAATAGGTTTTTTTAAAATTAAGTTTGAAAATTCGAAATGGTATATTTTTAAATTTAGTTTGAAAATTCGAATTGGGTTTTTATAAAAATTAAGTTTGATTATACATAATTATGCTTTTTTTGTGTTAATTCTGCGTAAATATAGAAATTAAATGTATTATCCGTTAAATGTATTTATTGTAATATATAATGGATGCAGGATTATGGTAGAGACGGAAATGATTACAGTGGGATATTTGGACATGATGGTCCATTCGAAGAAGCTCAACAGGCGATTGATTGGCAAAACAGGTTGCAATTGCAGCTGGATTTTGCTTGGTAGTAGTAACTCATAAATCTCAACGGGATGGTAGAATGGATCGCATTTTGAGATGTGACCGTTATCGCAAAAGAGAAGACAGAGATTTTCGTACAGCCACTCGGTTTGATACAAAGCGGAAAGGTTGTGGGTGTGAGTTCAGAGTAAAGGTTCGACAACTACGGAGTCGTGACGGTTGGGAAGTGATTGGTTACTCTAAATGGGGGTATCACAACCATGAGATGATAGTATATGAAGAGGGTCATCGACAGCTGAGCGGCTTAAGTCCTGCTGCGAAAGTAGTTGTGAAAGAAATGAGTGATGCTCAAGTCAAGCCTGCTAAAATATTAGCATCTGTGTTAGAGAAATTTCCAGAAGACCATCCAAACCGAAGACACATCTACAACGTCAGACAGCAACTCAGGTTTGAACGGTCAGAGGGAAGGAACCCTATACAGCAGCTGCTACACCAGGCATAATCACGTGGTTACCTGTTCTGGTTTGATTCTGATGAAGATACAGCGGAGGTGACTCATCTTTTCCTTGTGCATCATGATTGTGTTGATATGATCAAGTCTTGGCCATTTGTGATTTTGATCGACTCAACGTACAAGACAAACAAGTACAAGTTCCCACTGGTTGAGATCATGGGGATGACTCCAACGAACCAGAACTTTCTGATTGGTCATGCAATCATCAAGGATGAGACGGCTCCAAGTTATTATTGGGTGTTGGAGAAGCTGAGAAACTACATCGGGCCTAATGTTCATCCAGCAACCATCGTCAGCGACTGTGAGGGAGGTCTCTTTGCCCCCATAGCAGAGCTGTTTCCAGAATCGAACCACTTATTGTGCACATGGCACATCAACAACTGCGTGAAAGTGAAAGCCTACAACCTTTTCAACAAGAATTTGGAAATGGCAGAGAGATTGGTGAATGGTAAGTGGCGGAAGATCCTACAGGCTACCACAGAGGAAGCGTATGAGCGAGCATTGGCTAACTTCAGGGATTCGTACCAGTGGTGTCCGGCACTGGTGGACTATGTAATGCAGCAATGGGTCCCTCACAGGGAAAAGTTTGTCAAATATTGGACAAACCAGGTACTTCATTTCGGGAACACTACAACATATAGAGTTGAGAGCGCTCATAGAGCTACCAAGGACTGGATTGATTCATCGACCGCTGCTTTGGATACACTGTTCGATAGACTTAACAAGTCAATTGAAACTCAGAAGAACGGCATCAGGAACTCTCTAGAGGACTCCAGACGACGACATGGTACGATGTATAGCCATTTTATATTTAAGATTCTCCATGGTCGTGTGTTGCACTACTGCTTGGGGTTGATTCTCACTAAGCTGAACAGGATGAGGGACTTGGCTGACGAAGTGTATGCTCGGTGTGGGTGTGCTATTTCAGTAACTCATGGATTACCTTGCGCATGCACCATTCACCGCGTTATTACAGAAGAAAGGGCGTCGTTACATGTTGATCAGGTCCATTCATTCTGGAGGACGCTTGTTATTGGTGAGCATGCAGACACTCAAACGGCCGACCGTGATCATCATGCCGTACTTGGAAGGGTGGAATGATGTAGTCGGAGATGGTAACTGCGGATTCCGGGTCGTGGCTGATGTTTTTCAAATGGGCGAAGACAACTACGGTTTGGTGCGTCAGTTGATGTACAACGAAATTGCCTCTAACCGAAATGTTTATCGTCATGTGTACCAGGATGACTTGGATGGCGCTCTGCGGCGTATCCGGTGGGGAGGTGGACCTTGCGGCCAAAATCATTATTTTGACGCGCCCCTAGATCTGTTTGCCGTTGCAAACATTTACAAATGCGCAGTCATGCATTTCGGCCTGGGAGTGCATAGTCAAGCTTATTATCCTTGTACCACGGTTCTCCCTTGGCGGTCGCGTGAGACTGTCACCACACCGGTCAGAGAGCTAGCTATTGCGTTTTTTGGGTCGTCATACAGACATTTCATCCGACTAGACATGTCATCCGATTTTCCAGTGTCACCGATTATACCTCGGTGGTACAACATTCGCACAGCGAGCGTAGAGGGTTGGGATGCGCTATATCATGACCGGATCCACGAATGGAACACCCTAGCTGCATTTTAGTTTTTCATGTTTACATTCTTCCTATGTAATCTTATTTGTACGTTGCTCTTTTAATGAGAACATTAATCTTTTATATTGTATTGCTTACTGCATTCTATATGTTGCATGGGTAAGTTGCGCGGATCCACGAACGGTTATATCAAAATTTGAAAACAGCAATGATAATATGTTTAAGTTGGAAGCTAAAAGAACAATCTAAAATGTTACAAACTTACAACATAATGCCCAATTTAATAAATTAAAACGATAATATTTAAAGTGCTCTATAAATAAAATGACAAAACCATCAGTAATCCCTCCTCGACGACGACTCCCACTGCGCAAGGGTCTGTTCCAGACTATCAACAACAGCTCTCCCTGTTGCACTCATGCTGTCCTTCTCAAGAGAGAGTTTCTGTACGTCCTGCATTATCTTTCCCATCCACTGCATACAACAAAAAACAAAAGATGAAATACAATAACAACATATAAAACTTAATTAAAAGACAACGATAAATATAATATGAGACATACCGCTTCCATGGCAGTAGGCGGTGGCACATAATCATCATCGCTGTGGTCGAGATCTGCGATCAACCTCGGGTGCGAATACCGGTTGAACCATTCCATGTAGTAATGGTCACACATGGGAGGAACCCCAGAGGGCGGCCGCTGCAACTCCGCAGTCCATAAGCGGGCCACCATCGGAAACTGGTCCCACGTCCCGGTCATGATATCCGGCCATTGCACGACGTAGTCCCTCGACGATGCAGGTCGGACCGCCTTCATCGGGCATGCCGGGGGAGGAGGGACAACTTGGACAAATCCAAGCTGGCGAAGACAACGCTGGGGCATGTACGCCTCGACGATCTCACGATACTGAATGAGTCCCGTGTACAGGGTCCTGGGTACCCTAACACTAGGGTTCGGGCCGAAAGGCATCCAGTTCACCTGCACATAGTTTTAAAATTTAATAACATGAATATAATATGTGCAAATAATAAAATGTAGAAACAATTTATAAACGTTACCTCTAAGGGGGACAGCCTGTCCAGCAATAACCGTATCGATCAGAGGCGGTCAACGGACTTCTTCTCCGAGCGCGGACTCCACGCACAAGCACGCGGCATCCCCTCATCAATAGGAACCGGGTCACGATGTGATCGCAATGCAGGAAAGTACTCGTATATCCACTGCCATCGTCCACATCCTCATCCTCATCTGCGCCCTCCTCCTGCTCCTCCTCCTGGTCACCCTCCTCAGCATCATCATCGTCATCGTCATCCTCATCCCGACGGTGGATCCGTTCTCTACGAGCTGAGGCCGAAATACCACGGGATCTGACATGTCTATGCCCCGACCTCTCCACTGAATAGCTTCTACTAAGAAGCTCTACATTCTTCCCCGCACCATGACGACCCAGTGAATTCTACACAAAATTTTAAAATATATAAACATACAAAAATTTATACGAAAAATAGCTACCACTACCCAAATCAAATAAACTAAAAACATACTAACAAATTAACATAATAAAGAAATTAACAAAACACTTAAATAAAAATAATAGAATAAAAAATACACTTAGAAAGGAAATAAAACCAACACAGAAGAATATATATAAACATAAATAATTCATTCCCAATTAAAATAAATTAACTAACCAAAAACAATATCAATAATAAAATTTAAAATAAATTAACTAACCAAAAACAATATCAAAGTCACAAAAAAAATTTAAAAACAAATCAAAATAGAGAATAAAAATAAAAATGTACAAAAAAAACAAACAAATAATTGTAAACAAAATATAAACATAGATAAATACAACAAAATTGAAAAAATTTATAAAAATAAACAACAAAATATAAAAACAATTCAAAAAGATATTACACAAAAAAAAAAAAAAAACAATATTTTAAAACAAATATATAAAAAAAAAGAAAAAAAAGGGGGGGGCCTTGGCTGGACGCCCAGCCAGCGGTGGTGGCGCCAGCTGCAGACGCCGCCACCAGTGGGCTGGCGCCTGGGCTGGACGCCACAGCCACGGCTGCGGCGCCTTGAATAAACGCCACAACCGTGGCTATGGCGTCCAGCCCAGGCGCCAGCCTACTGGTGGCGGCGTCTGCAGCTGGCGCCACCACCGCTGGCTGGGCGTCCAGCCAGGGCGCCCCACCTCCGTCACGGCGTTTTTTCCTTTTTTTTTTTTACAAATTGTACCTTGCCTCCTTGGGACCTCCTTCCCTCCGCCGCCGCCGCCAATTCCTTGCCTTGCCGCCTCGACATTGCCGTTGTTTGAAATTTTTTTTTAGAGAGGTTGAAAGAAGATGAGCGATGAGAGTGTGAGTGATGAGAGTGTGAGTGTTTTTTTTTTTTAGGTCAAGGGCAATATTGTCAAACCAAGTGTATTTTGTGGGCTTTATATAGTAATTTGTGGGCGATGTTTAACAAATCCCAAATTTTAAAGGTTGAGTCATATTAAATTATTATGTCCATGCGAGTTCAAATCTAAATCGGATATTTTTCGGGTCGGTTTTGGATCGGGTTGGGTCGAGTCGAGTGTGCTTTTGACATCTAGAATGAGAAATAAGAAAATGAGAAAACCACTAATCATATCATCTTGGTTTAAAATTCAAATTCGCTCATCTTTTTATTCTTAACTTTTTCATATTTTGGCAATGATATGTGTTAGGATATTATTAGCTTTCTCATTTCTTATTCTAAACAAATCCATATATATATATATATATATATATAAGTTTATTTTAAAAGATTTAAATAGAGTATAAATTCATTAAGTTAGAAAAAGAAGAATCAAAGATAAGTTGTTGTCCCGATAAATTTTTTTTTGGGTGAGAAGAGGGGCAAGGCCCCAAATAGATACAAAACAAACAAAATGAAAGAAACAAAACAGATAAAGATGAATAGATGATGTCAATGACTATTTTTAGTGCGAATTACTCGGTATTACTGTATTAGTTATAGATACCAAGCCTCAACTTATAAATTTGACCATATCACTGCAAAAAATGTACCAAATGCATTTAATGACCAAAGTCCGTCAACTCCCTATCTAACCAACCCTAACACTGTGTTTGGATAGAATTTTTGGAAGGAAAGGGAGGGGAAGGAAGATGGAGGAGGGGGAGGGGGGGTGAAGGTAACAAAATCCCTCATTTGGATAACAGAGAAAATAAAAGAAGAGAGAGTGAGGGAATTTGCTTGTTCTTGTGAATTTTTCCCATTCTATTTTTCAAAATCAATAATTCACATATCAAAATTTCAAAATATAAAATTCTGGAAATATAAATTCTTACAAATAAATTTTCCGAAATAAAAAATTCTAGAAATCATTTACCCGATTTTCCAACGAATTTTTTCAGAAAACTGATTTTTGAAAATTGAAACCAAAATTTCTGAAAATTGATTTTCGAAAATCAAAACAAAATTGATTTTTGTATATTAAAAATCCTTTTATTTTCCAAAAAATCGATTTTTGAAGAACCATAACTCAATTTTCTGAAACTTGATTCATGAAAATAAAAACCAAATTTCATGAAAAATCAATTTTTGTAAATCAAAACCAGAAATTTTGTATCTCAACATTTGAAATTGTTATGCTTTGAAATCAATTTCAGAAAACAAAATTTGGAAAGATTGGTTCAGAAGAAGAAAAGTTTGTATATGGCGGCAATTGATGCAATGAACATGGCGGCGAAGATGGCGTGGCCTGTGGACTGTGGACTATGGTGGAGGCTACAAACAGTAGTGCTGGAGAGATTGGTTCAGATTCCTTCCAAATCTTCTCTGATTTGGAAAGATTTGTTTCTTAATTGTGGAAGGAAATAATTTCCTTCCATTTCTCTTCCTCCCAATTCCTTCACCTCCCATTTTTGCTATCCAAATGGAGGAAAACTCATCCCTTCCTTTCCCTCCCTTTCTAGTCCCTCCATTTCTCTCCATCCAAACAAGCCGTAAATCTTCTTTTTATTTTCCAATAACCTCAATTAATTAAGAATTTTTTTTATATGGTATCTAAATATTTTTAGTTAATCTAACATTTAAAGTAAGTGTTTGGAATAAAAAGAAAAGGATGGATATAGGGATAGGAATAATGAGATGTCGATAACACAAGTGTAATGTTAGTTTAGGGGGTGAGATTAGAGGAGGGATAAGGATTGGGAAATGAAAATACTTATATGCCCTTAATGAAAAGTAAGGAAAGGAGAATAAAAAAGAATTAATAAAGGTATATTGATAACTTTGCTACATATCTCATTTAAAAATAGGAGAATAAGTAATCAAAAGGAGGATATACATATTATTTTATCTCACTCGTCAATTCTCTATGTTCAATTCATACTTTTATCTCTATCCATACCCCCTCATATCAAACACCAATACAATGAATTATATTTCGAAACAGGGTAAAGAGAACAGGTCTATGGTTTGTCAACATAAATGAGATGCAGATGGATCGTGATACATGGATCGTAGACGGATGAGAATGATGACCCAACTAACCAAATCTTATTTTATACAGACAGCTTAGCTCATCTACCTTGCTTACTCGCAAATATATTGAGTAAACTTTGAATATAATAAAGCACTGCACCTAACAACTTCCGCCCGCTCAATCTTCACCCACAACTCCCATCTACCTCTCTTTCTCTCTCCATCTTCCTGTATTTGTGATTTGAAGATGGCAAGAAAGAAGATCAGAGAGTATGATTCCAAGAGACTTCTTAAGCAACATCTCAAACGAATTGCTGGCATAGATTTACCCATTTGCTCTGCTCAAGTATATTTCTTTCTCATTTTCAATCCAATCTTTTTATTTTTGTGTTAAATTTTGATTAAAGATTAAATCTTTGATACCCTTTTGATGATTTGTTTATGTGGGTAGATTAATGTGCCTGTCATAAAAAAAAAAAGAGTAATGTGTTCTTGTGATTGTTTTGTTTTATGGGGTGGTTTTGTTTTGACTCATTTGATTTGATCTGTTGTTTTTTGCTTGAATTTTGTGGAAGATTGTTAGTTTCAATTTGGATTAGGGTTTGATCAGAATTATGAATCTATGCATGATTTGATTTGGTTAGAGTTTATTGACAATTTTCAATGTGGTGCTTGTTTGGTGGAGGAAAGCTCAGGAATTTTTGACATTTTAATATTCTTCAATTTGTGTAACTTGTGGATTTGATTGTATTAGATGTGTTATAATTCTGTAATTGTCACTCTTTTTAGTTTATCGCCTCGGATCTTTGTGAGAAGCATTGAATTGATGTTGACTTATGAGCTTGAAATTGGCAACTGATGGGTTCGAATTTTCAATTATTTGTGAACTTGTACTCTAATCTTACTGGTATAAGGTTTTTTATGAAGAATTGTAGAGATGAAATGATCTCTACTTCTCTAGGAAAACAGTCAAACACTTAAGGTTTACTTTGATGCATCAGTGTTAATTGGTTTGTGATTATCCAGGTAACAGGATCCACAGACTTCACTCAACTAGTGAATGACGAGACATGGCTTTCATCTTCAAGATTGGTTGTGAAACCAGATATGCTTTTTGGTAAGCGTGGTAAGAGTGGTCTCGTGGCTTTGAATTTGGATTTGGCTCAAGTTGCTGAGTTTGTGAAAGAACGAATTGGGAAAGAGGTAGCTGCTACTTTTGTACACGCTCATTATTGCTTCAAATGTAAGGTATTTTCCTGTAACACGGTCAGCGATTACTTTCAGGTTGAGGTTGGGGGTTGCAAGGCACCTGTTACCACATTTATCGTTGAACCATTTATCCCTCACGAGCAGGAGTTTTATCTCTCCATAGTATCTGAAAGGCTCGGTTGCACTGTAAGCTTCTCTGAGTGTGGTGGTATTGAAATTGAAGAGAACTGGGACAAGGTACACCACAACTTAAGCTAAACTTGGGTTCCTTAATCAATCACAGTATCCTCTAGTAAGCATCTCATGTAAAAATATGGTGCTTGAAATGTGCAGGTTAAGACCATCTTTTTGCCAACAGAGAAACCCTTGACTAGTGAGACTTGTGCTCCACTGATTGCTACACTTCCTTTGGAGGTAGGTCCCATCCCTTCACATCAAGATTTTGGCCACTTTTCATGCTGGAAAGACTTTATTTTATGTATTGAAATTGATTTTTTATTTTATGCAATCTGTGCAATCATGTTTTTGATACAATTTTGTCAATACTCAATATTTCTAGTGAGCTACATAACAAAGACTGAGTTGTGCCTTTTAAGTCTTTTTAAGCTTTTATATTTTGCTACACTGTTTTTCATGTGATGATTTACAAATTTACCTTATTTTGGCGCTTATTTTCTTTTTTTCTTACAGACACGAGGAAAAATTAGCGATTTCATCAAGGGTGTCTTTGAAGTTTTCCAAGGTATGATATGCATTCATGTTTGTCTTTGCTGAGGACTTCTACACAAATAATTAAATGTTATTTCATTATTTTTGAATTTTTATATATTTTGTGCTCTATCATTTGCTACAATTTTTACTATTGTTGGATATTGATATTATGGGACTTTTTTAATTATCATTTTTATCCTTATTTTTATTCAATTATTTGACTTACAGATCTGGACTTTAGTTTCCTGGAGATGAATCCCTTTACATTGGTTAATGGGGAACCTTTACCATTGGACATGAGGGGAGAACTTGATGATACTGCTGCTTTCAAGAATTTTAAAAAGTAGGCTAAGTTTTCATAATGTACAATTAAGAAATCCTGGATTTTATCTTAAGAAACAATTTATCATTTGCTTACTTTCTTCCAACTTGTAGGTGGGGCGACATAGAGTTCCCATTACCTTTTGGCCGAGTCTTAAGCTCTACTGAAGATTATATCCATTCTTTGGATGAGAAGGTATGTGCCATAATTTTTTTATCTACATTTTACTGCTAGAATACTGTCTTTTGGAATGTCTGTGATAATACTTTCTTTGCCCAGTACTTCCTTATTTCATTCATTTACCGCTAAAATTAGGTTAATTAACGAAAGGTTAGGAAGTACATACCACAAGCCATATGGTGGTTTGTTGCCAATGTTACCATCAGAATTGGTCTTATATTTGGGGACTCTAAAGGATTACATGTCCCCTTTTTCCGACATGATTTCTTTTTGCTGCCTTATTTTAGAACTGAAGTATCAATGTTAAGTATACAATGCTTCCTTTACCTTGCAGACAAGTGCATCATTGAAATTCACCATTTTGAACCCAAAAGGACGCATTTGGACTATGGTTGCTGGAGGTGGTGCAAGTGTTATATATGCTGACACCGTGAGTTCATAACTGAAATTATCTCTGCATCTATTGTTGTCATTGTTTTGTACGTACTTTTGTATATGTCTAGTTGTTTCAACTAATCTAGAGCTTGGAGATTATGTTTATGCCTTTAATCTTTACCAGGTTGGAGACTTAGGTTATGCATCAGAACTTGGTAATTATGCCGAGTACAGTGGTGCTCCAAATGAAGAGGAGGTCCTAAACTATGCTCGAGTAGTAATTGATGTAAGAGTCTCATTTATTTGAACCTTATAATTTGCTTTCATGCTAGTCAAATACTTCCTGTATCATTTTCTCTTAGTTGGTGTTCTGTCAAATAAATAAGAACAATCTCTATGCTGCAGTGTGCCACAGCAAACCCCGATGGTCGTAAAAGGGCTCTATTGATAGGAGGGGGTATTGCTAACTTTACTGATGTTGCTGCCACATTTAACGGAATCATTAGAGCCTTGAGAGAAAAGGTAATCCCAAATCTCATATCCCGAAATCGGAGCACTATATGCCTTTGTTCAATAATTCTTACCCTCTGTCCCTTCTTTTCCGGGAACTATCTGACAGGAATCCAAACTTAAGGCAGCAAGAATGAATCTTTTTGTTAGAAGAGGAGGTCCAAACTATCAAACAGGTCTTAAAAAAATGCGTGCACTTGGTGAGGAGCTTGGGGTCCCTATCGAGGTAAGCTATTCATATCTAAAGCTTACAGTGTTTTTCAGTCTTGAGATGTGAAATTAAACTCCTCTATATTGCAAAGGCAATGAATATGAGTTTCATTTTTGTTTTGGAAGACTTAGGAATTTGTAGACCAGTAATGCTAAATAAAAAGCGTGATTCGACATTCTAAACTTTTTCTCTTCCTTAACGATCTATTCGTGTAGGTATATGGCCCTGAGGCGACCATGACCGGCATTTGCAAGCAAGCAATTGATTGCATTATGGCTCAGGAATAAACAAGTGTGCTATGCTTAAATGAACCATATTATACATCTTTTTTCAAAGGGCTAAACCCGATACAAACTGAGAACGAATTTGTTCGAGAACATGAGTTGTTTGTCAATAGACTTCATTACTTATATGTACTACTTCGGTTGTAATTAAGTGATGCTTCTATATTGGGAACTAGTTTTATGATTTTGTTGATTGGAGGAAAAGGTCTAGTCTATGAGCAAGCTTGCTTTTGTTATTTCAATCCAACGCTTTCTTTGATAAAATTTCTCCATTTTTATTAGTTGTACTCCGTTTTTCTTAAATTTAGGCTTTGGCTCATCTGATTTTGTCTGAAATTTTGTTATCTGTACTTATCTAAAATTATGTTGTACTATTTTGTATGAACTTATATTATTTGAACTAATCTAAACTTTATTGTTTGTATGAAATTATTTAGGTAGTATTATTTTGTCTGACAACTTATATTATGAGCTGTGCCCAGTTAATCTCCTTGATAAACATAAAAATAATGTTTATCAAGGGGTAAATATGTAATCTCATGTATATTCGAAGGATATTTATGTAATTCATTGTCTACTTGAGTTAACCATGGAACTTGAGTTAAATGATGCAATTGACGTTTTTTGGACGCCGTTACTCTAACCTTTCTCCTGCCTACTGCTTCTTCCTCAAGAGTATTCACCATTTATTGCAATCCATCCTCCATTACTGTGGTAGAGCTTTAGACCTTCCCCACAAAACCCACCTCCAAAAAAAATTCAAGTATCCAACAATTTCCCAAAAATCAAATTCTGGAAATCCTTCAAAACCTATGAAATCTCAGGCTTAGTTCTTCAATAACAACAACAGAGGAACTTTGGAGTTCAATATTGACGCAATTTAACAATGGACGAATTCCAGAGTTCAACAATACGGTTTTCCGATGGAGGAATTCCGGTGGCTTCGCCGCCGATTTTATAGAAAACCCTAAGAAAAATTGTGGAAATAAGGGGAATGGTTAACCCCAATAGGGTAGGGTGTTTTAAAAGGAGGAAGTTCAACAATGGAGGATGATAAAGCTTCATTAATGGAGGAAGAGAATGACAATAAACGGAGTTGCTTCATGCTAACAAACTGACCAAACTTTGGTAAGGTAAAGAAGTAACTCAGGTTAAATGCCAGGTGGACACTAAATTAAAAAACAGATTATTTTATTCTTACATTACATTACCAAGGCAAGTTATTTACATAACTGTCATTTGATAAACAACAATGTATTAAACTTGGATTTTCTCTTATATTATTGCCTAAACTTATTTGAAATGATCTAAAGTTGTGTGTAAAAACTTGGTGTCTTTTCTTACCTGTATTTTTTGAACCTATTTGAACTATTTTATTAAATGAGATAAATATATATATCTTCTAAAAAAAAATAAAAAAAATATAACTCTTAGTACCATATTTTTTATCATTCTCACCAACGTCTTCTACTTGTGATTTTTTTTATCCGTTTCAAAAGTGAATCTAATCTTCTATTACTCCCTCTGTATAATATAAATGCATCACTTGCATTTTGTACAATAATCATATATAAACTTTACTTTTTTCTTTTACTAATATATAATTACGGAGTAATAATTATGTAATATGTTGTTGGATTAATTACAATATTAACTTTTAGAATTAACTTTTTATTAATATTTAATTAAAAATATTGATGATTAAAGTTGTGTGAAAAATGTGCTAATTAAAGTGGTGCATTTAAGAGCAATACTACTTTCATCTCCCCCAAAGTTGATGGAGGGTTGCTGAAGTGACCATTAGAAAAATGTTGAAGTCGCAACATAAATAGGAAAATTTATGTGTGGTAAATTTTTTTAATCATTCTCCAGTGCTTTCTAGGAGCTAAAGGCTTTCAAGTTTATTTCATTTTTTTCTCAAAAAAAAAAGTATAAATTTCATTATGATAGTCCATGAATGTTATTTCTCTCCTTTTTAAAATTGAAATGGGAATAGAAATAGGAATTTTTAAAAAATTAGTTGATGCTATTGGGTCAAAGATGAAGATAAAACACTCATAATTTTCTTAAGGCGTATAAGATCCTACGGCTCTGATACCAACTTTATTGGAAAAAAAAAACCTAAATTTAACCAAACATAAAAATTAAAAAAAATTAAAAGAACTTTTTCTTCTTTAATTAATAACAATGATAGCAATGTATGAAGTTAGGAAACATGTTCCCTCACTTTGAAACATTTAACTTAACACTAAAATTGTTGTCAATATGTACATGGAATAAATCATGGGTTCTTAATAATACATAATCCCTCTGTTCTTGAAAGTTCGACTCGCTTTCCATTTACGCGATCTCTTATGAACATCTTTGACCATTAGAAACTTTGGCTATGTATAAGTAAATTTTTTTAAAGTTTATATTTGAAAAATTTATCATAGGGGGAATCTATTAAGATCAAACTTGTTAATTTATTTTGATTGTATATTGTTTCGGGGTTTTTTGATGTCCTGCGGGAGAGTTACAAATCCAAGACTGACCTCTGGATGCCTGTACCTGCAAAATAACGGAGACTCCTGTTGATGGGAGCTCCGCCTCCGACGATCAAGTTAGAACGTGTTTGAGGAGTTTAAGTGCGGAAAGTAAAGTCTCTCTTGGGGTCCAAGAGAGGATCTGCAATGTGAATTGCTCAGTTTTGGGGTGTCAGGTGTCTGACTAGTTCTCTGCTTTGAGAGTAAGAGTAGGTGTGAGAGTCAATCAGGGTTGATATGAAGCTCTCTGTATGTGTTTGAATATTTCTGAATAGGTGTTTCCCCCTAAGGAAACACCTTATTTATAGTCTGGAAGACTGTGCCCAATACTAGGTTCCAGGAAAACCTAGGACTGATTGACAGGCTTTTCTGTCTGCCATATGTCGTGGCCTATAGGTCCACTTTGGACCTCTTATGAGGTGACACGTGGCGGACCCTGATTGGTCCACGTGGAGGACACGTGGCAACGCATGATTGGTCCACGTGGCGGGGAAAAATCCCCTAATCATTTGCCCCTCACAGGGGTGACGTGGCGTGCCATGTGGCGCTTGTGACAGATGTCACTTTCTGATTGACTAACGGTTTTTTACCTTTTTTTTTTTTTTTTTTTTTTTTTTTTTTTTTTTTTACCCTGACCCTTGGAATTCACCCCCCTATAAATAGGGGATGTCCAAATCACTCCTAATGATTACCGAATTGTTCAGACAATCAAGAAGAGGACGCCTGCTCTGCCCTAAGAAGATATTCTACCGATTTCCTTGGACGACTATCAATAGACCGACTCCCTTTTTACTGCCGACTGTTTTTACTGGCCGCTTGTTTTTCAACCTTCCAGAACTGCACAATTTTCAGAGTTTTCTTAAAGGTAATCGACTGTTCCCTTTACTCTTCTTTTCTTCTATTATTTTTCGAAAATGGTATCCCAAAAGCACCCGGCACGACCTAGGTTAGTGATCAGCCGGTCACCGGGGACCACACTAGGAGTGCCGCTTGCCCCTTGCTGGACCACACTTTGCGAACTAAGAGTCCGACTGTCTCTGTGTCTGTGCAGGACACTATGGCCAGAACCAAGAGAACGGCGAGAGTATCAAACTCAGACGGCTCTTCATATTACGTCCCTCTAAGTGAGGTTTCGGACGTACCGCCCGGTGCACCTAGCACCCCAAGCGACTCAATTTTAGAAGAGTTTAAGGGGGTTGAGAATGCGCCCCTCACCATTGACCTATCAGAACAGGCGGCGGGTGCGCTTGTTTGCTTTAGTGACTCGGAGACGAGCACTTCCAGTCGGCTTTCGGCCGACTCCGAATAGAGGCACTCTCGGATTCGCGAAGCGAGAGAGAGTGTTGCTATGGAGAGGGGAGACGGCTGGGCTGAGCCGGCTGCTTCGCGAAGGGAGTCGCATACTCTTTACTACTGCCATGTTCCAAGGGGCAGAGCCAAGACAATGGCTGAGAAGCTTGAGAATTTTGTATATGAACATTTCATGGGCCAAGGCTATATCCTTCATGTGCCGGATGCTGAGGATACAGTCGTCTGGCCAGAGGGGGCCAGTTACGGGGACGACTGCTTTGGCTGCTACGAGGCGGCTATCAGGGCTGGTTTGAGATTTCCTCTACATCCGGCTGTAGAGAAAATTTTGGACGGTTACCAACTTGGCCTATGGTAGTTGGCCCCAAATTTGTGGTTTAATATTCTCGGCTATATAGCCGCATGTGAAATATATGGGGTGGACGCTAGTTTTGAAGCGTTTGCCCACATGAATTACCCCAGCCGGACCAAAAGCAAGCGATACCGGCTGGTATCAAATTTCTAGCCATAAAGGCTTCATGATGACTATGGGGAAGGAGAATAAATGGAAAGACTGGCGCAACACCTTCCTCATAGTCTCCAGTCCCAATAAAATCCAAAATAAAAAATACAACAGTTGGAACAGAGATCCACCCCTCCTAGCAGACGCCTCTGACCTACCGCCTGTTCCTAAAAAGGCGAAGGAGGAGATCCTAGACAGTGGTCTGTTCCAGGTAGTAATACAGGCACACCCTGAAACGGGTTTAAGGGAGTTCATTCCCAAATACTATATCCCCAAGTACAAATGGCTATATGATGGGGTGTATTTGGCCGCCTGTGGCCTGAGCGAACAGATGCCGAGAGGTAGCAGACCGTCTGTTTTTAGTGTCTTACTAAACTTAGAACTTTTCTTGCCTACTAACCGATTTGTTCTTCTCTTGAAGATATAGCTATGCAAAAGATCTCGGCATCAAAGAAGGCAGCCGCCCAACTCCGAGCAGCCATCCTTGGCAAGAGGACGGCTGAAGAGTCACCTGCGCAACAGGCACCTAAGGTGAGCCTTTGTGAATTTAACTTAGCTTTGTAAGTACTTGCCGCCTATTTCAAGCTAATTGTTTTGAATGTTGCATTTTTGTAGGGCTACGTTTCCAAACCATCCTCCTCGTCCCAACCTGATCCTACAATTAGGAAACAGGCGGCAGGCGACGTGTCGACTCCTGGTAATACCAGGCGACCCGGGTCTGAGAAGCATGGAAGGACTCCCCCAAGTGGGGCTAAAATCCCTGTTACCCCTAGTAGCAGCCGGATCCAAAAAGAGAAGGAGGCGGCCAAGGGTATACTTGAAGTTTTAATCATACTGCTGTCGCCTGTTTGACACCAGGCGGTCTTTTGTTTTTAGTGATGCAAACTAACCAGTGTCATTTTGCAGGCACCCATGAAGAGCCTGACCTGGTCCAGATGGCCAAGGCCATGCTGAGAGCAATCCCTGCTGAGGAGAGGGAGGCGG